GGGGGGGGGGGGGGGGGGGGGAGGGGGGTGATGTGAAAGAGAGCAAAAAAACAAGGTGAGAATTAAAAGCCATAGGGTAGTATTATTGCCTGGACTATTCATCAGTGGTATCATGATGAGTTTCTGGCCCGGGTCGAGTCACACGGGGGGCTGGAATGGATGAGCCTCCCGTCGCATCGCATCCCGGGAAGCTTTCTGCTTTACGGTCCATTTCGCGCGCTGAAAAAGCAATCAATATATTGGCATTGCGAAAGAGAGCATGCACGAGGCTGATTTCTGAAGTGGAATGAACAGAAACATACAACCCAATGGACCGTTTGGGAATAGACGGGCTGCCAAGGGGGTGGTTTTGCGCTTGCAGCACGTCTTATCACAAAGAGGCCGAGACAAAGTCGTTGCACAGGGCCCTAGGAGGAGAGAAAGAGAAAAAAAGAAAGCTTGGCCTGTTCTCGACAAGGGTAGTGGAGCCAAGCTTTTTTTTTTTTTTTTTTTTCGAACCAAGAATATGCGGCCATTCCGCTTCGGGAGCCTGCGGGAGTTGGGATTGTCGATTCGCGCTTTCCCTAATTAGTCTCGAATTCGCGCCGCATCCCTGCCCTATTCCAGCGTCACGTTTTGCCCCACCCTTCGTTCTTATTTCCTGCTCCTTCTTAGGCGAAAAAAAAAAGAAGATGATGATGGATCAGGGTTAAGAAAGGAAAAAAAAGGCGCTAATTTTGAGCGGGGCAGACGCCATGGAACGAGCGAAACAAATCAAAGACCCTGGTGAAAATCGGGGGCCCTTGTGAGAGACAAGATGAGAACGAGAGTGAGAGAGACGGGGGTTGACGCCAAACGTGGTGCATATTTTGTGGGCCGCAGAGCCTCGTCGATTCCCTCGTGTGTTTTTTGTCTGTGGAGATTCGTGATTGATTGCTGGCTCTCTCTCGCGATCCAGGAGACCGTGGAGCAGCCGGCCAGATCAGATACTACGAGTACAACTGAGCACAACTTAGACACACACCCTGGTAAGCCGGCTTGATTGATGTCTTCTTTCTCCTGCTTCCTTTCAGTTCACCCTGCCAAGGGCCGATGACCTTGTCTGCTGCCTGTTGGATGGGGGCACGGAAGGCAGACAAGAATAGATTTGACGTCCGTCGATAGTTTCGAGGGAGGGGGGAGAGATTGCTGGTGGCAACGGATGCGTTTCTCTCTGGCTCTGTCTGGCTGTTGCTTTTCTTGGAGGGGGTCGCTTTCACGGAGGCTTCTTCTGCTTGCCGGAAAGTATCTTCGGGGCCAAGACGTTGTTTTGTTTTATTAATATGTTGTCAGTTGATACTTGAACTACTGCAGTCAAAATTGAAGTTTGAGATGCATGCGCCCTAAAACCTGAGCGGTAACTGTAGGTACAAGCCCTGGAGGTGTATGAGTACCTGTGCGGCGCATAGCACACAGGTACGGACCGCGTGTACGGAGTACCGGAGCGCTGAGTCGCACCCAAGCCCTTCCCCATCCAACTCAATCGCCTGCCCTATATCCCTGTCCCCTTTAATTTATCCAGTCCATCTACCGTCGATGCTAGTGCGGAAACTTTGCATTGCCTGGAGCGGAATGGCAACCGATGGATCTCGCTCTCTTCCGTTCGCGTCGTATCTCGTCGTATCGATTTCTATGGGGAGGTACTTGGCCATGTACCTTTTTACCCTCTGGGCATAGCACCTGTACTTGGGGAACGCACTCGAACCAACAAACAGGCGAGAGAGAGTCATGAGCACTCTTCGCGCAATCCCATTTTCTTGTTTTATTCCCTGCAAAAAAACAGCATTCATGTATGTCTCGGAAACTGTTGGGTCTACTCGGGTTTGAGGTCGCCGAGCATTTTAATTAATTCCTCCATTTTTATTGCCTCTTCTGCCTCGCGTCATGGTCATGGCTTCCGGTGTTAGTTGACCACCTGTTACTGAAACGGGCCTCACCTGTGGCCTTATGCGAAAGACGAGCCGTTGAATGTCTGACTAAATGAGTAAACCGTTTATTTTGTCTTGCGTCTTTTACTGCGGTGGATGCAAATGTGGAATTGTGGTGCCGGCAACTAAACGAACCGCAGCTTTAACCAGACGAGTTTCGACAATAGGCATTGATGTACACGCGGGTAAACTCCAGTTTGCCTTGCCTGATTGCATGTGTTCGTGTAGTTGATATGTACGGGGTAGAGTGCAGTGTACATGCATGCCCTGCCGGCACCGCGGAATGAGAAAAACCAGGCGAGACCTCTGGACCACGTGTAACTTTTGCTTTGCACGACGCAACGCCTTGTGAGCCCTGGCTGAGATGCGCGGATGCTCATCAAAACATGTCACCGGCTTCCATCGTGCGTTGCGTTGCGTTTGCGTGGTTGTTGGTGTTCCGTCAACATTCCGTGGTAGATTCTATATTCCGCGCTTTCGCACCGGACAAGACGAATTGCCGGATTGGGCCTGCACGTCATTGTCTGGTTGGAAGGTCTATCTGCGGCAGCCTTTGGGAAAAGGGCCCCTCCGTAGTCCCGCATTTCCCACCCCATGGTCCAATATCCCACACAAAGTTCACCCTGTACCACCTAACAGAATCCTTCTTTGCTGCTCTTTTGATATGGTATCCTTCCCTATCCGTTTCTTGGCCGTCTTCTCGTTGGGTCACTTCACCCCCCCGGCACAGCCAAAGGCAGTGAGGAATAACGGCAGAAAGGAATTAAAAAGGGAAATATCGCTGACGGACGATGCGCGCATCCGTCGGAGCCGGGAGCTGCAGCGGCTTTCCTTGTCGGACCCGGCGCTGTCATTGGCCGAATTGCGATGGCGGGCGTGTACATGCAGGGGTGCAGCAGCAAGAAAGAGAACAAACTCTTCTCCCTTCTCTGGTTCATGTCTTGAGTGTTTCTTGGCTGCCTTGTCCATGCTCTGCTCGTATCTCTCGTCCAGAAATAGCAGTGAGTCAATCGGTCACCATTGGATGGGTTTCACAAAATACGGCAACGAAATGCGTGGTGGGCGAGACATGCATAATGTTGGTGCGTGTTCCTTTTCTTTTTTGTTTGGCCCACACTATGTACTCCGTACTCCGTAGTAGGCACCGCAACCCTGGTTGTTTCTTTTACCCACTATCGAACCTGTATTCGTACGAGTTACGTGCAACTATGCTTCAGGACCTGTGTGCGGTCCGGGATAATACCAGGGACAATTACTGGAAGGCGCGCCATCTCAGACCTCTCAAAGTCCGCGGGCCTTGTCCTGACGTTGAAGCGGAGGGTTTTATCCACTTTGTTGTAGGGTGTATAGTGCTCATCCCAAGTGCTAGCTTTTAGGGCGGTACTCGTAACTCGTACGATATAAAGAAAAAGACACAGACTTGTAGGCAGAGTTAGTCATGGGGCTTCGAACCAACTCCACATGTTATGTTATCTGCCTTGCCTTGCTGCTAGCTCTTCATCTATGATTGCCAGCCAGATAATATTACAGGTGCTTGCGACGAGTCAAGGATCGGGGTCGATCCGCTGGGTCAACAAGCTAGATTTCCGCACTTGTCGCCGTGTAATCGATTCCTTCGTCTGTTGTCATAGGTCTGAAATAGGAACCCGTAATTCTCCGTTGCCTCTCTCTGTGAACCCTTCGATCTATCTGTGTAAGATGATGGCCCAGGCCCAGCAACGGTAATGACCGCTTGCACTTGCACCATCTCACTGCGTGGCAATGGCATGCAAAGCAAACTGATAAGTCTCATCGGGCTAGACTATTAGATAGTTCGTATGTATCATACAGGAACCTGCAAGCTCATGTTGGCTTTAGTGAATGCTTCCATCTATCTGTGCTTGTCTCGCCTCCTCCCCTTTGGCAGCACGCGGTTGTAGCCGGGGCCCCGGACCGGAATGGCGTACGAGCCACATGCATCAATGATTGACTCTGCGCGTGCCGCCGAAAAGCCTCAGCACGCAACGAGAAACCATTAGCCATCTCAGATGGGCAATGCAAGCGTAGGCACCACGGGCAGGCACAGCTTCAAGCGCGGACCGCCTTCTTTTCTTTCTTGCTGCTTGCAGGGTCTGTGGGGGCCAAAGGCAGCATTCAGAGCTTGCGTCTTCTCGTCTCTGGACGTCCTCATGGCTATGGCTTCGCTTAGCGAACATCTCCCTTGCTGGCTGGCCTTCGGCACTGCAACACGCGCCCTTGATGGGCTTGCGGCACTCCCCTAGTTCAGCCCGGAAGACGACGTCTATGCAGTCATCTCCCGGTGTTGATAAAGTGATGGGCACTTGGTTCAGCCTCGCACGGAAGCAGAGGCTTCCTCAAACTACCTAGACATTATCATATAGGTCAGGTACTAGATTAATTTCCACGTTTTTCAACTCAGCGCTGCGGTAGCATGTAAACCCTGGTCGCGGGGCCCCTGGAACAGCAACCGTGTACTTGGAACTGAAGCTGACAAGATTAATGCCATGCCAGCTCACAATCAACAACCCAGACACACACACTGACACACTCTCGACGCAATAAGAAAAAGCAAAGAAAAGCGTGTGCGTGATGAAAAAGGCCAACCAGGCCCAGGGGATGACTCCGTCCTTCGCAGTACCCATACCTGCCGCGCCACGCAATCTTGGGGGCACAAAAAGTAGCGCTACCGGGCTCCTTTAGCGCTCTCTTCAAGCTTCTGACAGGACAGGGAAGCGACCCGGAGGACGGTCCAAAGCCCAAGCCGAGGTGTCCGAATGTGTCTGTGGCAGGCCATGGCAGGCCAGGGCTGGAGCTTGGAGGTGATTCCCAGGCCTGAGGAAAGGCGCCATGCCGCTCTGGGCGGGATGCCCCTCACGCCTGCTTGTGTCTTGCAAGGGTATCGGGCTTTGATCTAATTGCACGCCACGGGGGTAGTGCACACTCCCACCGCTCTGGGCTGGGCTACAGCCACTCCCTCTGGTGTCTCTTCATCCTTTCCTCATCACAGCATCCCATCCCCATCCCCATCCCATCCCACCAAGCCGGCATCCACCCCTTTCATTCTTGACCCATGCCATGCCGTTCTGTCTTGGCTTCTGTCTTCACACGCCCCCCCGTTGCCTACTGGAATAATACTCTATACACACTATCCTTCGGAGAGGCGGCTTGGGGGCACTGCTACTTGCTAATGTCCATCGATGATGGTTGTGCCGTATGCTGCCACCCCACCCCGGATGAGGCTGCGCCAGAGCGAGAGCCCTACCTCTAGGTACCATGTAGGAACGGGCGGTACATGTATCTGGTCTTTTACCGCGGCGTGTCGAATCTGTGTTTGATGGGCGATCCAAAGACTGGGTCCCTGTTACCACGATGCATTCGGTGGGCTATATCTTCGTCGGCAGCCCCCAACATGTTCAACCGAACTTCTGGTGACAGACCATCTCCAGCCATACAAGTATAACTTCACCTCCGGCATAACCTCATATCTTGTCTACTCTTATCTACAAGATCCAATTGCCTACCACGACCTTATACACACTTACAACGGACCCTCGTTTGCTGCCTACTTATAACCACCGCCGTCGCCTCTTACCAAACACCATCGCCTCCACCACCTACCTGTCATTCGCCTTTGCGCCAACCTTGAGAGAGACTACAGCAACATCGCAAACCATCTCTCTCAAGCTCCATTGAACCAACCCGCGACTCCAGGTTCCAAGCGCAAGAGATTCACAGCCATCTCTCGCTGAAAGACAAAGAGTCCAGCACTCGCGCCGCGCTTCACCAAGGCTGCGCGCGAAGCAATCAGTCAAAACCAGCTTTCCGCCACGAGTCTAAACAGCCTTTCACAATGGCCTCTCTGGCCGAGCAAAGCTTCAGCATGTTCCCCCAGCAGCAGGATGAATACACCCACTTCGAATCATCCCACGTCCCCGTCTACTCCTCCGCGCCCATGGATCTGAGCATCGCCGCCGATGCCTACGGCTCATATGTCCAGCGCGCGCCCAGCCAAGAGCTCTATACCAGCCCCAGCACCATCAGCTACGAGCCTTCATTATACACTGCCGATAACACCTACATCATGAACGGGCCTACCTCTCCTGGAATGTACGGCGACGATTATCTGCCCTCGTCCGGCCTGTCCACTGCCTCGGCGCCTTCTGCTCCTTCGTCCGCTGTCGGATCTCCCTTGTCAAACCATGGCCAGATCATGGGAGACTGGACTGTGCAAGGCCTCGGTATCCAGCCGGGCATCGCCAACAGCGACTTTGTCGAGTTCTCAGCCTTTGGCCCCAACGGATTGGACGACATGTCGGCCTTTGAGTTTGCCAGCCTGGCGCACCCCAAGGGCTTTGTTGGTAAGTTGTTTTCTCTACTAGGTACTCCCTATTTTCACCTGCTTCACACCCATCGGCTGCTGCCTTCTGCCTTCTGCCTTTGCAATCACCGTTTCTGCGCTTCTGCGCTTCTGCGCTTCCCTCTCACTCACTCAATTTCCCCCTCCAAAACCCAATGGAAAAAATGTCCAAGGTGGCAGCCTGCCCGGGGGCATTTCCTCTTTGGGCGGCCAATAGTTTTTTCCCCCCCTTGTGCCATGGCCACCCCCGCCAGATTGCCCCTCAGGCCCTCTCTGGCTTCTGAGAGGCCCGGAGGGCCCCCCCGAACCAAAGCCGCATCCCTGCTTCAGCGCTGCACTCGCACCGCAAACCCACTGGCATAGCCAGCCAGGCGGTGCCCGAGCCCACTATGCAGATGCACTGCGCGGCGCTGCACGCTGCAATTACAAGCCGGCGGCCTCTGTTCGGCTGGCCCTAGCGGTTGACGGCAATCGACACTGTCGTCATTCCTGTCAACACCACGCTTCGGCATCACCGTCCGCTGCTATTTTTGCCCTTTTTTACCATTACCCTCTTTTTCTTTTTTTTCCTTTTTATCTCCGTTTGTTTCTTATTTATTCCGTCTTGTGTATCTCCACAATCACAACCATCACAATCACAATCGCCGCGCTTTAACCTTCTTCTCTCCTTTTCCCCTTGTCAATCACGCGCATCATTGCTACCGTGCTGGTTGGTTGTCTGGCTGAGACATCTGGTTGGTGGTCCCCATCTCGGCTGGCTGACTTGTCCCCGCTAAGAGCGACGGCAAGTCAGTTTTCAGCTCAGCCAGCCATCTTCAGAAACCCTCAAATTGGCCTGGCCTCCCTTGACTTACTGCAACCGCGCCTGATGAGAGTTCATCAACACCCAAATTCCCCGTTCGTTTTCGCCATTCATTGGACCCTCTGCGGCAGCCTTTCTGCATTTGTTTTCTCGTGCTGCTTATCATGCTGCTTACTGACCACTCGCGCTTACAGATCCTTCTCTGATCCATCCGGAAATCTCCAGCCGGCCAATGGCCATTCCCTCTTATGAGACTCACTACCAGCCTGCCGCCCCTCAGTATCCCACTTCTCCTTCTGCGCTCTCATCCTCTCCTCAACCTCATATGATTCGCACCGGCAGCTCCTCGCCATACCTGCAGAACGGATCCTTTCAGCCAGCCACAACCTACAACACCAGCCCGTATGCGACATCAACCACCATGACTCCCGGAGCCGGTGTTGGACCTCGCCGCCTGAGCATGAGCAAGGCCAGCAACAGCGGCAGCAACTTCATCTCCCCCGTCTCCGCCGACTACCCCAGCGGCGATGAGATCAAGGAGAAGCACATGTGCACCTATCCCGAGTGCGGCAAGACCTTCAAGGATCTCAAGGCGCACATGCTCACTCACCAGACTGAGCGACCCGAGAAGTGCCCCATCATGACGTGTGAATACCACGTCAAGGGGTTTGCTCGCAAGTATGACAAGAACCGCCACACCTTGACCCACTACAAGGGCACCATGGTCTGTGGCTTCTGTCCCGGATCTGGCTCCGCGGCTGAGAAGTCGTTCAACCGCGCAGATGTCTTCAAGAGACACCTGACTGCCGTCCACGGCGTTGAGCAGACTCCCCCCAACAGCCGCAGAAGAGCTTCCGGTGCCGTCGCGCCAAAGACTCTCGCTGGCTATGCCCCCGACGCCACTGGCAAGTGCAGCACCTGCTCGCAGACCTTTACCAATGCTCAAGACTTTTACGAGCACTTGGACGACTGTGTTCTGCGCATTGTTCAGCAGGAGGACCCCGCCGAGGCCATCAACGCAAAGCACCTGTCCAAGGTTGCTGACGATAAGGACGTTCACCAGACTCTGGAGAAGAACAACCTTCCTGCCACCACCCAGACTTCTGTGACCGAGGACGACGAGGATGACGACGACATGGCTGACGACGACGAGGCGGACGATGTTGCCAAGTCGGCCTATTCGTCTTTGAAGAAGAAGAACTCTCTCAACCGCGTCTCCAAGTCTCGCGGCATGACCCACTCCCGAGGTGGTGTTCCCTTGTCTACCAAGTCGCGTGGTCGCAACAAGCGCCGCGACTACCCTTCCTCTTGGGGTTTCAACAAGGGACAGATGACGATGAAGAAGCGCGTCCTGGCTGTCTTTGACGGCCCTCGACGCCTGGCCAAGGATGACATGATGCTCTCCACCGACCACGAGGTCCGCATCAAGCTCTCGGATGGCAAGTCTTATGTGACCGATCTTGATGTCCAGACCTTGAAGCGTGCCGAGGGCTTCCACAACGCTTCCGATGATGAGAAGGGCCCTTGGATCTCCGACGACCCCACGGAGGAGCAGCTCAAGGAGATGCAGCGGATGCTGGACACCGGTGCTTCTGACTTGTAAGTTGGAAGGGCTACTACTCTCGCCCGAGAGAAAAGAAGAAACTCGAATTGAATCAATACTTGATAACATGACTTTTATAAAGCATGGCAGACGGCGCATGGGATCTCTACTGGAACCAGGGTATATTGGGCTATTCTTGGGATGGGAAATATTATAACGCTGGGAAGAAGCGGGTAATTTTGGATTTGATACCCTGTTTTGATATACAACTACTACATGTTGGGCAATGATGGCGCAAGATGGGATGGGATGGGACAAGGAGGACTTACAGCAGGGACTCAAAGGTATATCCATCTTACCTCCCTCGGGCACTTTAAGCATGAAGCTTTGTTTTGTTTTTGCAACACATCTTTAACCGCTTCGGCATGTGGTTCCATGTATAATTATTATTTCATTTGTTTGCACGAACTTGGGAGGGAATATTTCATTTGTATGGATCAAGATGTATGAGGCACGGACATCTCATGACAAGATGGCTTGTTATGTAATATTATTTGATGTCATACGACATGAAGCAAAATATTTTTTACAAAAAAAAATATTAATATGAAAATATCTAAAGATATAAAAAATTACTTGATCAAGATTCTTTTAATTGTGAAGCCCTTTCTGAACATCTTTAGAGTGCTTGTTTGTCACTTGGAGTTTTTGTGTGGGTGGAGGCGGGATTGGCAAATTTCTCTGTCTACCTTGGGTGCTACTAACCTCTGCACCCCCACTTTGATATATCTTTTCCGCCCAACGACCTGGGAATCGCCAACTTCAGAAGCAGCAGCCGTGTTAAACAAAGACGCTCGAGACTAAAAACGGAATTTAAAAAGAAATATAACATCTTTTGGCCTTGCTAGAGCCTTTCATCTTTTCTTATCGCCAAAGAGAGCGGGGTTGTGTGGGGGGATTCGAGAGAATTTGGGGATTTTTCATCTGAGATTTTGAGGCGGCATCTACCTAAGACGAACGTTGGGTCTGGTCTCTCTCATAATTCTCGGGGTAAAAGAAGATTTATTTCGAATTTTCCTCGTCTTTGATTTTGAGGCGGTGAAGATATCTGAGAAGCAGATCGGTCAGATCTTACCTGAAGGAAGAACATTGAGATATCACACATATCAATCACCTTTTCCTCAACCACAACCACATCGATCAGGCTCCTCAAAAACGACACAAAGAAAAGCTCGTAAAGCTTTTCATAAAATCAGCAATGGCAACGCTCACCGCCCGCATCAGCCTCAAAGGAGACGAGCCCGACGGCCCGGAAGACTACCTCTCCACATCCCTCGGCGTCATCTTCCCCGACGACATCGTCAACCAGCACGGCGACGCAGAGCACTCCCTCCTCTACGCCTCGCCAAAACTGCCCAAGACGCTCCTCATAGAACTCGCTGACCCCGAGGGAGAGACTGACAGGCGTCTGTTTAGCCATTACTTGTGGAATGCATCGTTGCTGCTGGCTGAGCTCATTGAGAGGGACTCGCTGGACGATGAGGAGGAGGAGGAGAAGCAGCATAGGGGCCTTGGGGGAGACATCAGTTTTGATACGAGAGGCCTGCACACGCTCGAGCTGGGAGCGGGTACGGCGCTGCCTAGCATCATGGCTGGCCTGCTTGGCGCCGCGGGCGTCGTCGTGACGGACTATCCCGCCCCGGCCGTTATGAAGACGCTCCGCGAAAACGTCGCCCGCAACATCAAGCCGGACCTCGCCCCCGTAGGCAAATCCTCCCTCGTCACAACCTCCATTCTCGTCGAGGGCCACGAATGGGGTGTCTTTGACTCCTCCTCCGCCTCCTCAGCGTTCCCTTCCTCGCACGCTCATCTTTCGGACAGGCTCTTCGTCGCAGACTGTCTCTGGATGCCGTGGCAGCACGAGAACCTTCGCCGGTCCATCGGGTACTTCCTCAAGAAGACAGCGGAGGCGCGAGCATGGGTCGTCGCGGGCTTTCATACGGGGAGGGCCAAGATGGCGCCCTTTTTTGATGCGAAGGCGCTGCGGGAGGAGGGCGGCGTGGAGGTGGAGAGGATGTGGGAGAGGGATTGTGATGGCGTGGAGAGGGAGTGGGATAGTGAGCGTGAAGATGACATTACGGAGAGGAAGAGGTGGCTTGTGGTTTGCGTGTTGAAGAGGTGCGAGGGGATGGTGGATGCGTGAGCGTTTTTGTCTTTGTTAGCCTTTGAAGAAAATATGCAATATTTTTATTTGGTTTTGATGGATAGTGATAATGAGATGATTATCTACTCCTATGCTGGTGATGAGTGATGTATACTACGTATAATGCATTTTTTGTTTTGTTTTCTTCCTCCTCTTTTGGATATATATTCTCTTTGTTGTGTTTTATACAAGATTCCAGTCGCATTTCATCTAAACCCATTACTCTTCAAGCACCCGACCCAGCGCCTGTCCCATCTTCAGCTTCTGTCCCTTTTCAACCGCCCACTCCCATCCCTTCTTCTCCACTCCATCTGCAGTCTTCAAAGTTGCCGGCGCCTCAAACACCAGCACGATCGTGCTGCCGAGCTGGAAACCACCCATCTCTTCACCTCTTCTGAGCGCATGGCCGTGTAACACCGAGCTTGCCCCTTCGTAGGTCGCCTCTGCGAAACCGAGATAAGGCTCGCCGCGTTTTGCAGCTTCCTCGGCGGCAAGGTCGGCGGCAGTGTCCGTCAAGAGGCTGTTGGTGCGGAGCTCGCGGTCGAAGTTGATCTTGATGGAGCCGACGTTGGTGGCGCCCACGGGGACGTAGCTGAAGAAGCCCCAGCGCCAGCGTCCAAGGAGGACGACACGTTCGTTGAGGGTAAAGAGGCCAGGTAGCGTGCGCTGCAGATAGGGTGAAACGCTGAATAGTTCTCCTGCAAAGTGGCGTCTGCTCTCGACGACCCAGTTGGTAGGCGAGTGGAAGCGGTGGTAGTCTCCCGGGGCGAGATAAATGACGGCGTAGTACAAAGAAGTGGTCTTATCGGGAGAGAGCAGATCATACCAAGGCTTCTCGCCAAGAGCAAGCTCAGCGCGAACTTCGGAGACGGCGCGGGGGGATGACTCCTTGAGCGATTCGTCGGTAACAGGATGTTTAGACCGGACGTCTTTAGATCCTGACATGAGATCAGGAAGCGTGTATGAGATGCCATTGACCCTAGCAAATTCCTCTTCCTGCTTGATGATTTCCTCATCGCCAACAGGTCCGCTATGGCTCCGTTGGAGGCGCTCTCGCGCTTGGTCGGACAGTCCACTGTAGATGCTAGATGTAGGTGTGTGCTTGCCCAGCAGCGCGTCGATGCTGTAGGTCATGCCTTTGACTTGTTCGATATCACCGCTTTCAATTTGACCAAATTGGAGAACCTTGCCGTCGGACGGGGAGAGGAGCACATGATTGTCTGGATCCAATGGGCGAGCACCTGGTTTGAGAGTGCGGTAGAAAAAAGCTGCGAGGTTGGGGTAGACATGGAGATCAGGTTCGGATACTTCGTCAAGACTAGAGAGCACCAGAAAGAGTCAGCAAAGGAATCAAAATAATGATAGTTTGTCTCCATATCCCTTTTGGATCTCAGCGGGGGCCAACTCACTTGACTCCAAAGATGAACGAATATAGCTTAAAACCAGGAACACGCAGGTAGTACGGGATTGTCAATTCATTGAACCAGCCCCATACTCGAGAGATGGCCTTGAGAGGAAGAGTGGACATGATCTGGACTTGCCTATAATACACCTCATCAGCTTTGCACAGATCATTTATTCAACAAGGGAAGTATTTACCATGGTCCTTCAGGGCGTACTTTTGGCCGTGGCCTTGGTGTACCGGTTCCCTCTTGCTCCTGTCGTTGCCTCTCCCTTTCCCTAGACGAGACCTTGTAAAACTGAACCAGTCCCAAGAAACCTATGCCCAGTCCCACTGGGATCTGATACCATGTGATTTTGCTGTTGCGAAGGGCTTCGCCGAGCCGCTGGGAGAACTTAGGTCGTTTGCCAGAGTCGTGCGATGAAAACCCGCGCTGTGAAGATGGGATGCGTCGAATAGACCTGGCATTAGCAGCAATTGGGCCTGTCCGTCGGCCAGCAGCAGCTCGTGTAGAGCATCTTGCGCGCAAGGATGCTGAGAACGGATGAGAGCAGGCTCCTCCCCCGCCACCATATAACAGGCGGCCGGAACCAATTCCCAGCGTCGCCATGATGGAATGCGCCTCTGACCAAAGCTGTGCACTCGGCGACGGTGCTCAATTAGGCAATTCGGACAGGCATTGATTGGACGCAGGCGACGGAGATGCGCTTGAGGTTGAATTTGAGGCTTTGCGGGTTGCCAGATGACGTATGGAGGTGCATGGCTTTGTGGGATGGTTGGTGCGTGCGGCGCAAACATCTGCCGAGGCCGAGCAGCTCTTTGACAGCTCGATGTGTACTTGTGCTTTGTACCTCTAGGCATAAACCACATGTTTACGGAATATCACCTGCACGATTACTTAAACTGCCTAAATGGGGCATTGAGTGAATGATGTGATGCCATTGTTCCGATGGTCGGGAGCATGGGTAAAGAAGCCAGATGTCCTTTGCTTTCTGATGCTACCGCCCACTACACAGATGGAATCGTGAGGTTACTTTAGTATTGATGTCGATATTGTGGGAATATCATCCGCCTTTTGGATACATTCATCTGGTATTAGGCAATACGGATACTTATCTTTCTATGCCTATCAGGTAACAGCATCAAACAATCAGTCTTCGGATATGACGAATAAAGGAAGAAAGAAGAAAAAAGGGCATAAATCAGGTGTAAAGCTGTCCCTGTAGGTGCTGTACTGTGCTGTACCTAAAGCAGGTACATATGCGCATGCACAAACTTCCACTATTGGGTCCAATCACCAGCTTCATCCAATCCCTTTGCCCTAAATCCAACGGCAAACGCGCTCCTTGACCTGCAATATCCACCTGCACCCGGAGAGCCGTCAATTAAACCGCCCCTGCATTGTGTCTTGCCCTCTTTTTTCTACTTGAAGTTGGCATCTCGCCATAGCTTTATATAAAGTACTTGTACCAGCAAAGGTACCTGGATGTGTCAGGTCTCGTAATTGATTAAAGAGAAGCAATAAGGTACTTGATCGTTTTGTACTCGGTACTCCCAGTCTCTGGCATCACGCACAAAGCTGCCACTATGCAGAGCTTTCTTGCCAAGTACTCCATACGTGGTAATCAAGAAGACGGTCAGAGAGCGGAATTCGCTTACAAACGTGACACCCTTCGAGTCTGCATGGCGCTAAGCCACATGGGGCCTATCCTCAGGTGTCGCGCAACTGGCAGGTGCGGTACGTACCTGGCCGACTGCAATCTGTCAGCTCAGTCGCTTGAAGCCATCGATTGTCCATCTTCTTGCATCACCTCCCTGGAACTGAAGCGTTTGGCCTTCCACTCCTTTTCCTCGCTCCCCTTGTTTGGCGTGCCTTCCAACAGGCAGCGCCCTTGTTCGACCTGCTATAGGCACTTGGCGCCTCAGCATTAACCGCTGTGCCTCGACTCGAGTGTTGCGTGCGCCTTCTCGCATCCGAAACCGAAAAAGTTGCCATCCCTACCTAGAGCCCTGTCTGACATGACACAAGCGCACGCTTCCTAATATTCGGCACTTTTATTTTTCTCTTCTCTCTGCTACGCGGCAACTAGACAACGTCCTCTACCGAAGCCGGCCATTCATAGCCTGGTAGCATGCAAGCTGTCTCCCGAATATGGCTTCGGAGCTATTCAACCAAGCGGCCCAGGGCGCAGACCCTGCATCGTCCGACCAGCCCGTCGTCAACCTCCAAGTAGTGTCGCCGTCTGTGGGCGTGAATCGCCCTTTGCTCTTCCCTGGACTTGCGGCCGCCACCACCATCAAGCAGCTCAAGGAGAAGATCCGACAGACTCTCCCTTTGCGGCCGTCTGACGAGAACCAACGGCTCATCTACCGTGGCCGAGCGCTTTTGCGCGAGACTGATAGTCTACAAGATGTGTTCGGCGCAGACGCTGTAAGTTGGCTTTTTCTTTGATCTGATATACTTGTTAAGCAAAAAAGCGCTAACACAAACGTCGCCTTACAGCTTCGCAGCCCCGATCAACAGACAATCCATCTTGTCATAAGAGATGCTTCCGATAGCGTATCCCCAACGCCATCTTTCTTGTCTGGAACTCAGAGCCCGGCTTTAGGAAACCAGCCTCCCAACCTCCAGCGACAGACGCCTCCTCATGCTGCTTTTATGGGACCACCTCCTCCGCCTGGAATGGCAAGAAGATCAGTGCTGCAGCCGACTCCGAATCCTGCTCTGTCTCAACCTCGGATGCCATCCCCAGCTCGCTCGCACTCTCCAGCTCATACTCCTGAACAGGCAGCGGCTTTTCAGCAGCAGCATCAAAGTATGACGCAATGGTTGACCCAGACCCAGAGAGAAGCCATGGCTCGCATGGTCAACCAGAACCAGCGTGGCAGAGCTTACATGGGCATGCGCGGCATTGGCGATAACGCTGGTGCGAATCAAGGGGCTTATGGGGGTTATGGTTCAGAGTCGAATAGTGGAAGGGCAAGTCCGGCCCCGACGCATACAATCTACCGCGAGATCATTGGACCCAACGGTCACAGCTATCATGTAGAGACTGTTGTTCGAAATGCAGCGGGCGGCCTGTCAGCGGCTTCGGCGCCACCCCACGGCGCACTGACTCCTACTGACGTTCACGGTATTCTGCGAGGGGCGGATGCGAACCAGACTCCGGTGTCCATGGCAAACGCGCTGCACCAAAGCGGCTTGCGCCGAAGTGCATCTAGTGCCTCGCTTCACAATCGCCCGCTCACGCAACCAAGTATTACTACTTCAGTCTTTGCCAACAATGGCTCTCGAGCTAGCAGCGGTCGAGCCACGCCGGATTTAGGGCTCAGATCGGTTTCTGGCACGTTCAATGCCGTCTCTATGTCGGCACCATCACTTGTCACACCTCAGTCGCGGCAAGGCGTTGAGGTGTACATTCTCTCATCTCCAGAAGGTCCCCGCGCCCTGGTTTTCAACAGTGCCGTGGCTGAAGCCTACTATACGCCTAGGATGTATTTGCCAGCCGGTCACCATCAACAGCTCCGACCCAGGACCAGCTTCCCAAGCTTGATCCACACGATGCAGGCGCAAAGCAGAGATGATGCTTTGCACCAAACATCCCGCTTCGACGTAAGGCAGCCTGCTCAAAACTACCAAGCTCCAACACCGCAGCAACAACAGCAACAGCCACCACGCCAACAGCAGCAGCAGCAGCAACAGCATGATGACCAGCAGCCTCGGATAGTTCCTCTGCATGCTGGCAACCCTCCTGTGGGTTTGCCCAATCTGCTGGTACAGGCGGCTCCTCATATCTGGCTCATAATTCGCCTTGCCTTGTTTGTGTGGTTCTTCATGTCTCCCAACGCCTCCTGGTCGAGATGGTTGACTATAATCGCTCTCGCCTTTTTCGTATTCATTCTCAGCACTGGATTGTTGGCTGGTGTTGCTGAACAGGCTTGGCGCCCACTAGGACGACATCTTGAAAATGTGTTCCCTGCAGTAGACCCTGCTCATGTTGGACAAGGAGGAGCTGCGGGTCGTGATGGCGCCCCTGGAGCAGATCAGAATGGAAGCCCTAACCCAGCCCAGATGGCCGCCAGGCTGGTTGCCGAGCGTCGTGGTCAAGAATCTTGGCTCGCAGGTCAGCTGAGACGGCTAGAGCGAGCTGGCCTCCTGTTCCTTGCTAGTATTGCGCCCGGCGTTGCAGAACGTCACATTGCAAATCTAGAAGCAGAGGCAAGAGCCCAAGAAGCTCGACGCAGAGAGGCCGAGGCGGCAGCGGCAGCGGCAGCAGCTGAAGCGGCCGCCGCAGAGAGCAATGCAAACCACGATGGAGAGACTGCGCCTGAGACGGATGGAGGTGAGACGTCACAGCAAGATGGGCAGAACAGCCGCGAGGAGATGGAGAGAGAGAAAGCCGTTCGAGAAGGAATTACTGCCGTGTAAAGCGTATATGGGTGGCGGGAGCTTAGCAATTGCATAAAAGGGACAGGACATGAACATGATTTAATAATGCGGGTTTAGCGATTGTAGATTCTGTTAGGAGCAGGGGCGTTGAAACTGGTGTTTCTCACATGAAGCCCTTGACTACGAACAAAAGCGGAGAAGAAGAAAAAAAAGAAAATAAAAGAAAACAAAGGCTTGCAGGCTCAGGCCTTTTCATGTACCTATAAAAGACAAGAGCTAGAGCATCACTGAATCTGTGAATATGATGGATGGAGGCATCTCACGAGTTCTGGACTTTATACTATTCTAGACACAAGCAGGCGAAGTGATTTTAGCTGACGGATGTCATACAGGCTTGACAGGTACGTACTCGTGGGGTGCCTGCGGACCTCTTATCTTATCGGCAATTTGACATGCCCAAGTCAAGCTGTCGTCACAAACTGAACTGCCTTGTACCAACGACCACAAACTCCGCCATTACCTGCACAATTTGCTCGAGAAACTCTGGTTTAGCTACGATATTCTGATTCATTGCACATTTTATCCTCCATTTGTTTGGTCGGGCTGTCGTTTGGACGGCGCATAGCGTGACATCATGAGCGGTGGTTGGAACACAAGTAAGCAAGCTCATGGCTTTGAAATCGACATGAAAGGAAGCTTGTTTATAAACTGACGCATTATTTTGCTTTGCACTGTAGTTGAGTCTGATGCAGTATGTTTTTCACTCTATTTCCAGCTCTAATCCAATCTATCTCTATATAGACGGAATGCCCGGCTAACATGTACCAGGGCGTCTTCACATCCCTCATCGAAAACCTCGGCGTCAAAAACGTCCAGTTCGAAGAACTCCTCACCCTCGACCCCTCGGAGCTCCTCGCCCTTCAGCCCCTCTACGGCGTAATCTTCCTCTTCAAATACCCGACCGACCGGCCCTACGCCACGCCCGACGGACCCCTCGACGGCAGCTTCGATCACGATGCCTCCGAGAGCATCTTCTTCGCCGCCCAGACGATCCAGAATGCTTGTGCGACGCAGGCCCTGCTCAGCGTCCTCATGAACAAGACGCAGGACGTCGACATTGGGCCCCAGATGCACGACTTTCGCGACTTCACAATGGTCCTCCCGCCAGAGTTCCGCGGCGAGGCTCTTAGCAACTCGGACCTCATCCGCGAGGTCCACAACAGCTTCGCCCGCAGCAGCCCCTTTGCCGACGAGACCGCCCGCACCGGCGAGCCCTCCGAGGACGTCTTCCACTTCATCGCCTACACCCCCATAAACGGCGTCCTCTACGAGCTCGACGGCCTCCAGCCCGCGCCAATCTCCCACGGCGCCTGCACGTCTGAAGACTTCCCCCTCAAGGTCGTCGACGTGCTGCAGCGCCGTGTCTCGCGCTACGATGCTACGGAGATCCGGTTCAACCTGCTGGCTATGTGCCGCGACCTGCGAATCCGCGCGCAAGAGTTTGGCGACGAGGAGCTGCTGGAGCGCGAGCAGCGTAAGCGCAAGGACTGGCTCTTTGAGAACGCGCTTCGGAGGCACAACTTTGTGGGTTTCGCCGGCGAGGTTCTGAAGAATGTTGTTGAGAAGAAGCTCGATGCGGGCGGCGACGAGGCAGTGCAGAAGTGGGTGGACGAAGGCCTGGAGAGGAGGAAAGCTGCCGAGAGGGCCATGGGGGCGAGGGGAGGAGGCGGAGATTTAGACATGAGCGGGTGAGAAGGAAGCTGTAGATGTTGACGATATGATGAGAATCTGGGCAAGAAAATATACCCTTGAGGCCTTTTTTAAATTACATTGGCATGTCATTCGCTGAAGGAACTATGCGGAAATCGGGAGCAATTGATGAGACGTTTTTGTACACATGATGTTTATGTGGAAAGCTAATACCCATTGCGATTAACAGAGAGTTTACGTGTACAAAGCATTCGGCTTTAAACACCACAATATAACATGAATTCGAATGATATAGATTCCATACCATTTCCCTTCCTCATCATTATTCATGCGTAATAAGCATAAAATCGTAAAAGCTCCCGCACATTATCCCCATTATAACCCTGGTGATTGATTTGCAGAGCGTCCAAGATATTTCTTGCCGTGACTTCTATTCAAAATCAATTTTTTTGTAATTTAGAAGAACAAAGAATGGAGACTTACCATTAATTTCAGACAGTTCTGCCACTGAATTTGGAAAAACCATTAATCTCATTTCCAGTTCTGAGGTCGACTAACGGGACGAGATGTGTCTCTGGAGATTTGAGGAAGTGGTAATGGATGGCATTCTCAGCGCGACGATCTAGATTCTTGAACCTATGGAAGACATATTAGCTTGATGAACCAGGTCGATAGATAGGAGTGAACAAACATTGCCCAGGTGCGGAGCTTAACCGCAGCAATGCGATCGTCATTCGCAGCCATTCGATCGTCATTTGCTATAGATAATAAGGATATAATGATATTGAGGATATAATGAGAATTTAGGTAAGAAAATGTTGTAACACGTAGGGAACGGATTGTTGAATAATCTAGGTTATAATAACCACATAGTACGTCTGTTGTTGTTTACAAAAATAAACTTCCGAACGTCCTTCTACATATACTATACCGTTCTTTCCAACTGAAAATATACCCTTGAGACTTTTTAACTACACTGGCATGTCATTCATTGAGGGAATTCAGAAGAGCGATTGATGAAAAAACTCGTTTTTGTACACAAAGTATTTATGCGGAAAGCTAATTACCCATTCCGGTTCAAAAACAGCGAGCTTTTGCATTCAAATGCCACAATTAAGCAAATCCAGACAAGCGATGCCGTTGACACATTACCCATCATCATATCAGCCCCTATTCATGTCCACGTTACTGCATATTCTTGACCTATCAAACGGAAAGCCATCAAAGCATGCCGCTCCACGAGAATGATCGAGCACATCATTAACGAGCTATACCCCTCAAAGGCGAAGAATGTCCATGATGATAGTCGTAATCTTCGTCATGAGTGAAGTGCACTCTTGAAAGAGTTTCCGTCGCTGCAGAATCGCCCTTAGTGCAAATGTGTTGGACGTTGAATCCCCGCTGGCTCTCCTCTTCGCTAGGAACAGACGAGGTGGCGGTAGTGTCACTGTGATTATTGTGTTCATCATCTGAAGGAGCTGGACCGCGACTGTTGCTCTTTCTCATGGCTCGGACGAACCATGGTGCACGACCCGTACCTCTCCAGGTCCAGTACTCTTTGAGATCGTATTCACGAGGCTCGATACGATGGCCCGAAAGGAGAACGACTAGGCCAATGAGGCCGTTGAGGGTAGTGTAAACAAAAAGACCACTAAACGAGAACATAGATTAGCTTCCAAAAAATGGGAAATGTTATGAAAAGACCGGTTCATGGGGAGAATCTTACGCAATGAGCCCATAAGCAACGCTGTAGCTGAACGGAATAAACGCCATGACAACAAACGAAGGCAAAACATCGCCAATATAACGCCAATTGACTTGCGTAATCTGGCGAGCCATCATGCACCCAACCAAGATGAGGGTACATCCCGTAGCCCACGGAGGAATTGAAGCAAATATAGGAGCAAAGAAGATCGAGATGATAAAGCACAGTCCCGCAACCACCGCCGTGAGGCCGGTACGTCCACCCTCAGCGATACCCGCACCGCTCTCAATGAAGGCCGTGATGGGGGAGCATCCAAACAGAGATCCGATGGATATGAATGCCGCGTCGGTGCAGTAAGCGATGGTTGAGCGAGGGAAGTCGCCATCTTTGGGGTCAACAACGCCGCAGAAACGGACCATGGAGTATAGCGTGGCAGTGGCGTCGATTATGTCGACATAGAGGAACGTAAAGAGGCCAAGAACAAAGTGCGTTGTGCTGGCGGTATCGAAGCCCCAGTCAAGCTGGTTGAGCGTCTTGGATAGAGGGTGCCATGCAACGATTTGTTTGAAAAAGGAGAAGCGAGAGTCACCCTCGGGAGTGTTGGGAAAATAGGTCACAGGAGTATTGCGACTGTGATGAGGTGAATAGATTAGTAAAGGTTTTGAGAGGGCATAGAGAGTAAAACTTACGGCCATGAGATGATGGAGACAAGGGCAATGCCAATGACCAGGGCATACTTGACCCTAAAAGCCATAAGAAAGGCTGTGACGATGCCACCACAAAATATGGCGAGCCACATCTGCATTCACACGGGTCAGCGGTCGCTCTTCTATTGGATAGAGGTAGAGAAGCTCGAGCTACTCACAGTTGGATTCGTCATCTGGCCTCCATTGCATGCTCCTGTCACTGCATTAATCATATCAGGAGGGCAACCGCCCAAGCTAAGAGGGGTCGCTGTGCCGCCACCCGTGATGGCACCAATACCAGACGTGTAAGAAAGTCCAATTTCAGTGAGAAAGAAGCCGATTCCAACTCCAGTGGCAGTCTTGATGGTGGCTGGGACGAGCCTGACGAGCCACTGACGCATGCCCGTCAGGGCGAGAAACATGAAGATAATACCTTCGAAGAAGACGGCAGTTAGGGCGGTACGGTAGGAGATGGCACCGCTGCCGTTGTAGCCAACGACCTTTGCCATACGGTTAGCAACTGGCTATAGACAAAGGGTATTAATGGGTGACTCAGCGCACCTGAAAAGCAAAATAGGCATTAAGCCCCATGCCTGGACTAAAGATCCAGATCAGTAGCCGTGTAAGCATTGGGGATTTATGTCATGACTTACGCAAGAGCGACAGGAAGGTTGGTAAACAAGCCAAAGGACAAAGTCGAGAGACCGGCTAGAGCTGCCGTAGCTGTAATCAAGTCTCTGCGAACCTCTATGATGGGTCAGATAAATGTCACATGAAAGATTAGATTAGATCAAACATACCTTCTTTGCAGTCCACAAAGTCAGAGATAGTATCGCATTGGAATTTGTCTGCCAGATTGCACTCGCAAGTTCCACCAGTTTGGGACAGGACCGAAGCCTTCAGAATTTGTTCACCAGTCAGCCAACTTCAGTCATGCAAGTAATGATTCGACAAACACCACATACATTGACGGCAATAATGTATGCCATTGTCGCAAACGTCGTCAACCCAGCGCGAATCTCCCTGAAAAAGCTTGTCCCTTCAATTGCATCAGGCTATCAACAAAGTCAGTTTCCTCATACAACTCTCATTGCCCACCAAGTTTCCATTTTCTCTTCCATTTCGAAAATAGAGACACTGGATCAAACTTACATGTCCCGAACCAGCAAGATGAAACAGCCGTCCGAGGAGACTGGTGCTTAGCCAATTGTCTATAAGATCGGCAAAGTCTCGAAATCCGCAGAACCTGGATCGACCAACCACTGGAGGTGAAGGAAGCCTAGGAGAGAAGATTCCCGGGTCGGCTGCTTCAGATTCTTGGCCCTCTTTGGGCTGGACGGTGGGAGATTCCATAAGACCGTGCAGTGTAAACAGAGGAAACTGTAACTTTCTTGAAGGAGACAAGTTTCGCCAGAAGAAAAGTGCGAATATAGGAGTCAAAATTGATATGTAGGTAAAGAGAAGATTGTCTCAATTGCAAGCAACGATAACGGAAGAAAAAGGATTGGTTTTTGTAGGAATCTGGATGGAAGAGAGTGGGTAAACAGACGCCGGTGATGAGATTTGCCAAGGCCTAGAATTCGTTAATCTTGAGGAAAAGAAATATCTAAGGACCGCCAACCCCTCTCTCAAGTGAGAATAGAGTGAGAACCAACCGTACGGCCCGTCTGGTGTGGTTGATAATATGCAGCTGGTTGGCGGCTGGCAGCGCTTCGAAACTGAGCCCGAAATTATGGTGGCCTGGTCTATGAAAACAATGCAAGCTGATAAGCCCAATCCAGCTCTACATGGACTCAGACGAACCAACAATTAATTTCCAGCACTTCCGTACGGGCCATCCGCATCTCATGTTACCACAAGAACCTTTCATTAGCGTTTCAAGTCCGCCTATCCGCTCCGTAGTTGTACGATATGGAGAGGAACCTAAAGTCGAGAAGCAACGACTTGCCGTTGCATATCATCTCCTTTCCCGTCGTACAAATATCATCTTGCTGCTTGGTACCGGCCGACCCGTGCTGTTATGTGGCCTTCTCTTGTCTTTGGTTGCACTCGTAGCCACAGGTTCCAGTGAGAGACACAGGCAACCATGGCATGCTGGGGATGGCGAGGGTGTGCCGGCTCGGCATCTTGCGCTTTGGCCAATCCATGTCTGATCTGGCAAGTAGCCGAGAGCACCGGCCGTCGTACGAGAGATGTCTATGCTGATATGGGAATCGTTAAAACTCGTTACACAGTGGATGATAGCGCGTGTTCGTACTCGCACAGATCATGGAGGTGGATCAAAAAGATGAAGCAGACGAGAGAGGCCAAGCGTCAAAATTGTCACCTGCAAGTCAAAGGTTAGAAGTATCAAGATAAGGGCTGGTGATTGACCATACCCAAGGTCGATTCATATCTGCGACAAGTTTGGATGATCTGAGCATGGGCTTAGCCCAGATTGATATACACACAATTGGTACAACAAGGAGGAAGGATTCTTCACCAGCTGACTCGACGGTTGACTCAGATTGCAAAGGAGCGAGTGAAACAAGTGCTGTCGGTAGCTGCTGCCGATGTCTCACCGTTCTTTCAGTGGCAAATATGGAAACAATGGTAAACGGGATGCGCCGGTAGACGTTGGAATGCGCACGTGGACGTTGGAATGCGCTGGTGGTCATTGGACATCGATTGCTGGACAGAAGCACCATGGCTGGCTGATCCTCTTAAATGGCGGAGTGGCCGAGCTTCAAATGCCTAATATAGGGGCATGATTGCACAATCAAGTATCGAGAGGAAGCCAGTGACTATGACACTGCCCTAGGCGACTGAGGCCAAAGTACACGCGCTCCGAGTCAAAAGCAAAAACGCAAGATGACGCTCAACTTGTTCGTATTTCTCAACCTGGTGAGACAACCAGGACATTACCTTGGAGAGCTTCGAAAGGGCCGTAATAGACAAGGAACATTTCACGCAAACAAGTGAGCAAGGCATAATGTCCAACACACGAACCCTCGTCTTCCAATCTCGTGATGGGTCAGATTCTGTTGTAGCGTCGCCGTAGGAGAGTCGCACGAAGCGAAGGATCCTCGATACTGACATCTAAGCACATGGTTAGCAGAAAGTGGTATCGACTGCGGCCCCCTTGTTGGCGAATGAGGTCGTGAGGTCGTGAGGTGGTTCCAAGTGGATGCTCTTCAGTTGAACAATATTTCACCGTTCAAGAGGCATCGTGACTGTTGCGCCCGCAACTCGCTGCTCAGCAAACATATACAGCTGCTGTCCTCTCCCAACCTCGACGCCACGACACGGGAACTTGCATTGCTGTGTTCACAGTTCCTGCAGCTGGCCTTGCTCTCAATCGAGGGTGTCCAGATTGCGGCTGCGAGGCTACGAGACCATTAAGCGCATCTGCTGGCCTGGGTTCTGGTGCTTCTAGCTTCTTTGTCCCAGGTTTGTTTGCTTTGTCCCTCCATACTGCCATCAGCGCCCCCTCGGCGATTTGGCATTGTGCCGATGAGCAGCTATAACTTGATTATTGGTTCTTCTTTTGCTGAGCCCTTTGTGTTCTCTCGCTTGCCTCGGGTTTTGATCTGATCCATAGTGCGGAGATTGTAGTGTCGGATCGCGACTGAATCTGCCATAGCCGCTTACTTTATCTTCTGCTTCATTACCCTTCGCAACTCAAAACCCAAAGTGTTCCAAGCCAATACCACACACATTTCACATACCCAGTCATCTTTCAGCTTCTGTATAGCCATCGATCAGTGTCATTCAAGGGACGTGACTTGACAAGTCAGGCAAGCAGCGCCTTCCATGATCCCCCTTGGGGCTCGTTTGCTGCTGTGACACCAAGACTTATTGGTTACGTTACTACCGCTGCACCAGACCAGGCTGCTTCATCAGCCCATTTGGGCGGAACCCTCTTGAGATAGGTTTGCTGCTTGAACGACAGCGAATAAACTCTCTTCTCCTCTGCTTCTCTTCTCTTTCTTAATTGCGAGGGGCACCGCTGCCATGTGGGATGTCATCTGGACAGATCCTGATATAAAACTGGTGGGAGAGCACAGAGCACGAAAAGAGAAAAAGGGAGCCCACCAGAAAGAAGTCAGGAGTCAGCCGAGACGGCGTTCGGCATCCACAGCCAGCTCACGCTGGTCAACTGACTCTCCGTTTGCCATCTTCCGTAGCAGAGGCGCAAAGAAGGCAAACACATCGTCGTCCAATGCGCAGATGGCGTCGTCTGCGTCGTCAGGAGTCGAGTCTCCCATCATTGCGTCTCCCAATCGGTCGCCCATATCAAACATGTTTGATCAAGGGAGCCGCCGGAGTTCCGGTCGTATATCTACCAGCTTCTTGGAACGGCTCAACGGCATCGACAGCCCTTTGAACACCAGTCCGTTGTTTTCCGAGAGATCTATCGATGACGGGGGAAAGCTGCCGCTGCATCTTGCAACTGAGGGTGAGTTGGAATATGTCAAATCGTGTGTAGTTCATAGTTGACGGCTCACCTCCAACGCAGATTCCCTCTTCTCACCGTTGTCGATCGAACATATATCAATTGGTGGCTCGACATCTGATGACTTGACAGAATCAGAAAAGATGAAGTCTTTGATGCAGATATTTGGGCAAAGTCCAAAAATGACAGAGGCAGCTGACGACGGCTCTTTTCTGCCCCAAAAAGCTCCAGTCGCTCCTGACGCTTCTGCCGATAGGCCACTGACACCGCTTTTGGCCTCTGAGAAACAGAAACAGTCAGTAGCACTTTTTTTCCTTGTCCAACTCTGCGTATTTCACCTCATCTGCAGATGCATCAATAAACATCTTTTCTTGAAACTGATAACAAATCTTCAAGGCCTTTATCACTTTCATCATCACCAATAGCCAGGCCAACACCTCGATCTCCAGCTATTCCCATCCCACTTGTCAACTCCCTCCTCCGTCCGGCAGATTTCAGCGTCGAAATGCCCATCACGCCTAATAATCCCGAAGCATGGACACCCGTTGAGGACTGGGAGCGACCTACTCCTAAGCCAAGTGACGCGTCCAGCCCATGTCCTCTTCTGCGGGAATCACCAGATTCCACCGTCGACGAGATTGACTACAGCCGGCTACCCCAGAATGGCGTTGGTATGAACAAGAGCTTCCGCTGGCTCCGCTTGGCTGTCGTTGAAATGGCAAACACCAGCGTGCCGGATATTCTATTTCGACTGCAGTCATTCTGGAAGGTTGTTGCAAAGAAAGATGTTTCCTTCCTCTTGAGCAATAGCCCTGAGGTTGAGGAACAGCGAAGGTGGATGCTCTCGACCATGATCCATATGGATCAAGTTCCAGCGATTAATGGACCGTTGCAACCACGCCAAGAGACTCCCTTGACGGCTCGCATGATATTGTCCATATACGATTCAGCAGGTAATTGCATCTTTATCCCTAGTTGAACGTCAAGTTACTAATGATCGGCTGTGTTGTTGTAGCTACTGTCGCCTACCTCGCCGCGTTAGAACACACGAAGCAGATATATCACGTCTCGCAGCTCTCCATACCGAAGAGGGAGTTGTTTGCAAATGTTCATGTGATATCTGTTTCCCAAGTCTCACCTACAGACTTTCCAGTAGCACCTCGCGTTTATGAATCAGTTCATTCTCTGACGTTGCCGTCTCTGTGTCCCTCAGCCTATTTACCTGGGATACTCAATAATGTCTACAAATGTCTTAAGAAGAAAGGCTTCCTTCGACTGGTGCTCATCGATCCGCTTCCCCGTGCGGGGACCATGGGTAGGAAATTGAAGACGTGGATAGAAGAGCATCTTCTTCGAAACCTAGCAAAACAAGCCAAGTGTATGAGTCCCAGTACAGCTTTCCCTCCCCTGCTGGCGGAGGCTGGTCTTCGCGGAGATGGAAGCACTCTCACAACAACAAAGTTTTATGCCGTCCCCAGCAGTGCAACGGACACAGATCCGGATATGATCAAGGATGTGATGCAAGCAGAGAACGAAGCAAAGGCCCAGGTTAGAAGTCTGGTTGGACGCATGCTGTGGATCGAAGCATGGGGTTCACATGTCACTGCTTCTAAATGGTGGTGGGATGACCCTGCATGCGTCGCCGAGTGCCTCGAATTGGGCACTTTTTGGGAATATCACACCGTCAAAGGAGTCAAGGAGGACTATAAAGTCAAGACAGTGCAAAAGTCCACCGGCATCGGCGAGTAGCTCAAGATGTTGGTCTCTCCTTCAAGACCAAGATGCTCCTTTGCCTCTTTGGGGAAATGCCTGACTAGCTCGGTGAAGATGGTGTTGACATGATTCGGGTTGCGTTACTTTGGCACGGAACCTCCCCGGTGTCCCCTGATGTCTCACTTTGTTTGATTTTTCTCTTCTTCTCTCTCTTACCCTCCTTCTCACGTTTGGCAGTTGTGGCGCTGAGCTAGTTCTCTATATACAAGGGAGGGCGGTATTGTTTCTGATGGAGGCGTTTCTGCGGCCGGGAATATTACGAATTCACCGGGGGTCAAGTAGGGTAGTCTCGGACTTATCGAATGGACGGCTCAGTTCTGACATGTGTTGTGCAGGATTGGTAACGGACATGCTCGGTGCAATTGCCACCGGCATTACTCCGTACTCCGTACTGCAACGTGTTTGGTAGCATCGCATGACGATCCAGGGTTACATGTGGAGAAGCGGAACAAAGAAGAAGGCTCGTGCGGTGCTGGCGATCAGCTGGCGATGCTGCGAAATTCAAGGTCGAGAAGAAGCGTTGAGCAGGGGGGCTGGATTGCTGGAGTCGCAGCAGGAGGAAAACTTGGATCTGATGCGACGTCAACAAGGGGGTGAACTGGGTCGCCGTATGAACTTTGTTACAAGCATCAATCAAGGCAGCGCAGCAATGGAACACTTTAGACGACATTCACATCACCAACGCCCCGGAGAAGAGCAGCACCGCTTGGGTTGCGTTGCGTTATGCAGCCATGAGGATTTAACCTCCCTCTTTAAGCTGCGAACGGAATCCTGCTGCAACGCAGTCATGCAAGGGGCCACACACGAGTTGTTGTTGGCTGATGGTTTTTCTTCTTCGTCTTTTTCTTCTTCTTGCTGTTTAGTCTTAGCGCCAGTTAGAGACATGTGCTTTCATTTCTCCTCGGAGAATAAAGCCGCAAAAGCAAAGAAAAAACAGCAATTGTCATGCTCACTCATCTTCATCCCACATCGTTAGCCCCAACGCCGGCGACCGTTGAACCCGCGCGTTTCCGGCCCTGGAAGCAAGCAAGGCAAGGATGAGGGAAGAATATCCTTTCTCTCGTCCCATCTTTTTTCTTTCCATTTGTGCCTAAATTGTCAACGCCATTGTTTCGTCTTGCTCGTAAGCTATGCCGCTTTCGAGGCGCTGGCCCGTTTTGTGTTTCCCTGGGGCTTGTCCTGGTTTGGGGTCCTGCCGCTGCGCCGGTTGAACGTGTGAGGGCTTCTCCGTTTTCCCGTGTCTTTTTGTTTTTTGGTGTTGGACGTACGGAGGAGAGTAGCCAAGAAGGTGGTACTGCTTACTCAATGGATGGAGTCGAGTCCAAAACGGCGACTTTTGACCCAACGCCAGGTGTGATTTCTGCGTCCTCCCGTATTTGGAGAGGCAGTGTTGGTAGACCCTTGAGAGAGACGGCCAGCAGCTGCGAGAAGATCCCAAAAGATAACGGCGACCGACAGGATGTAAAATAGGGGAAAACCAACAACTACAGCAACATAACGGGCACTACAGGCTGTATCCGTAGCTTGTGTCCGGATAGGGACACGGGAATGACGGGCTCTAGTCCAGACAAAATAAAAAAAAAAAATGGAAGAGAGAAAAGATAGGATAAACCGGCCGAAAGGCGCTATCAAAAAAAGCTGTCAGCACCAAAAAAAAAAAAAAAAAAACATCCATCCCCCGTCTGGACGGACACCTCAGCCCTATATCGAATAAAGAACAAAACGAACGGGCTTGGTTAGCTCACTCTCACCGCGTCCAGGGGGGCCACTCACTGCTTACATCTGTATGCGTATGCTCTCCCAGGGAACAGTATGACATGTGCGAGTAGATAGATAGGCCTACTCGTACTCTTTTTCCCAGCTGAGTCAAGTAAGCCCGCATTCTCACGCTCTGATGCCTTCTTCTTTTGGTGATGATTCCATGCTTTTTTTTTTCTTTCTTTCTTTGGTGACTGACGTTGGACACGGGAAACAGCGGCCACAGTGGTGGTCCAGTAATGCAGGGGCACACACACAAAAAACGGCAAAGAAAAATAGCTTCAAATATGGACCATACGTGAACTACTTTGCCCTCAATGTTTATTTTTACCTTTCTATTCATCTCTCTCTTGTGGCTTTTCCACCCGTTACGTATGTGCGCCCCATCCTGCGTCTCCCGTCTTCCCCGTTCTTCCCGTCTCTCCCGGCCACCAAAAAAAAAATGGGTCGCCAATCCTATCCCAATGTATTAAACCGAACATCCGGAACTTTCATTCGTTGGGAGAAAAACAGGGTCAATCTACAGTAGAATGACTCTCGCCAGGTTCAATAGGTCGGACCAAACCTTGCCGGCTGACACTACAGCAAAATCCAGCTAAAAAGTATTCAGTGTGATTGTGATCACAAAGTGCATTATCGAACTGGGCAGGATTTCGAAAGGATCTCGCAAGGGTTTGTACCTTGCCCCTCCCTAAAGCATTCCCTGTGGTGCGGAGATTGTTAGGCCCTGGTTCCTGAAAATGTTACCCCGAACTGCCACGCGGTTTTTTGGCTCGCACCCTTGGAGACACTTGTTTTCTTTTCCCAGGGGTTATTAGTGATTCGGGGAAGAGGGGGGGCTCGTAAAAGGGCCTCCATGGATCTAGATTGCAAAACGGCCAAGACAGAAGAGGCAGAACCTCACCGAGAGACGCTAGCTGCTCCGTATAATCGCGGCGCGAAAGGCGCTTCGTAGGTCCTGTACAGTAAGTGCTCGTATGTATGAGAGGCTTCATCACCAGATGGCCAAGCAAATAGTCTGTTGTAAAGACATTTAGCTCTGCCAGCTACCACTAATACATATTAAAACATGGTTCTTGGGATACAATGACTGGGATGACACAAGCCCTGGACGACATAATCACAGTAAGACGAGAAGGGAAAAAAGGCAGCGGTGAATGTAGCGCGGTTCAGCGTCAATATTGTTTTGATAGTCATAGTAAAGTCCTGGGTATCTTCCTGCCCTCTTTTTTTTCCCAAGCGGCGAGAGGCGCCGCTGTCCCTGAATACCCCCAGAACTCATCATCCTTTGCCGTCATAAGCGTTCAGACAAAAAAAAAAAAAATACCAAGAGGAAAGAAAAATGAGAAGATGAAAAGATGCATCGTTGGAAGAAGTGAAGAACAGAAGTCAACCAGAGCAGCACGCTCGCTGGACGATTAAATATTATACTCGAGTAGTAGCAACACATCTCTCCATATCGTCATCAAGTGCTTGAATGTCCATAAGTTGAGTGGTTGTCCGCCGACGCATCTGCTGAATGCGTTCGTGTATTAGCCAGCTCTGTCATACTCTCCGAGTCGAGTCCCTTTGACCGGTTGCCAGGCCTAAACTGGCTGATGCGCCGACTGTGCCGGCTATTTTCATCGGTTGCGCCAATTCCTCCAACTAGCTCCATCACCTCTGGCCGTTTGCCCGTTCGAATGTCCTCCCAGAAGCTCTTGCATGCGCCCCACGATGTGACGGCGTAGATGAGGGCGTTCCAGAATCCCTGAAGCGGCAGCACAAATGCACTCATAATCTCAAGTGGTGCGTTGATTTCCTGGCTCTTGACAACGGAGTAGACTCGGTTAGCGCTCGATGGGATCCATGTAACAAGAAGTGCCGTAAAGAATAGAAGGGAACACTTGGCGTAAGCCCATGCTGCGTTGTTGATTTCGTAGTTTCGTCGTCGGGCCGTCGGCGGTCGTGTTGATCTTCCTAGTCTCGACTTCTTCGTAGTCTCCGTGTTGGCAGGCTTAACAGGTTCAATCTTGTCGTCCGCGGGAGCCTGGGCAGCTGAGATATGCACCGAGTAGTTGGGGTTCTGCCCTTCTGGATCTGTAATAGATGGGTGGCGGCCAGGAGAGGGATGAGTGCGGAAAGCTCCAGGGTCTGCCACGGCTTCCGAAGTAGTGACCGTCACTTCAGTTGTCCTGAGGGTAGTGATGACGTCCACGGATGATAGGCCTTCGGATGAGTGGAAGTCGTTGAGCTGCTTGTGCTTCTCATAGATTGTTCGTCCTGCGCGGATGTAGATGAAAAAGGTGGCAAAGATGACGACCCTAAACTTGTGTCAATAAAACTAATCCTCATTCCCGCCTTCAAAGCTCTTCAAGTCAACTCACCAGACAGGGCCATAAAATGTTGCAATACGGAAAATGTCCCACTCGGTGGTGATCCAGCACCACAGGGTGGCATTGCCATATGCGCGGTAGCCATCCTTGTTCTTGAGGAAGATGTATACAAAAGCAGGAATAAAGGGAATGCCGTAGCAGCATAACAGATAGGGTATCTCCATTCGTCGTAGCTTTCTAGCGTCGTATTTGTGATAAAAAGTAAGATAGACATTAAACGCCATAGCCAGTGTCCAGAATGCATCAGCAGGCATAAACCTAAAAAAATCGTCAGCGGCGTGGTGGCAACAAGGTCAGATGCGAAGACGCATACATCTGAATCAGGAACCCTTGCAGTTGGCAACCGGGAGAGCCCGGTGAACTGAGATAACTTCGAGACATGAGTGTGCCTACGTTGGTCATCATGTTACCAAACGAGGCGTAAAACACAAGTCTGTTGATGGGCTTGTGGAACGAGCTTGAAAAGCAGAATGTGACAATGATGAAAACACATCCCAACAGAGAAATCACTGAACACGCTCGTTCTATGTCGCTGATAATGTTCAGCTGCCGCTGAGTGAGACCGTCAGACATCTTGGGCAATCGTCAACATCCAGCAATCAAGTGTCGAAAAAAGAAAAGAGAGGCGATTCGTGGGCTGTTGTGAGCCTCAAGTCGTTTTGTAAGACGTGCCGGCAGCTCCGGTCCTCGCCGTCGAAGTAAGAGTCTGTTGATTCCCAGTTGGAGAATTTGACCGTCCTTGTGAGATTTCTCCAGAAGGGGAAACCTGGTATTATATGTGCAGTAATGGGGGAGGAGTGAATCAGGGATTGCGCTGATGGTGCGTATACGTCCAACAGCAGATGGCAGGGGGTCGACGAAGAGGGTGCGTGAGTCCAGCAGCACTACCGGTACTGCCAAACATGAAATTTGCAAATCATAGCACGGAAGGGTAGAAGAGGATAGATAAACATGAACATGGAGAACGTGGGAGTGCGCTCCCGTACTAATACTACAAATGGGCTAACCCTCTGAATCCAGTATCTGATCGACGCAGACTCAGTAGTTCGCCTCAAGGCCCACGGACCAGGTGCCGGCGCCAGAAGCACGGGCGAGACTCAACGATGCTTTGGAAGCAAAGTGGACAAACGGTCAGTGGTGGCGCCTGCGTCTCAGAATGCCTGCCGCTGGGTGGGATGAATGTCAGAAGTCGTTAGGGCGTCAAGTATAACGGGGTAAAATCCAAGCGGCAGTCTCTGATTGCGGTAGTAATACGAAGTAACGGCCAAGGCGAACCTGCTTTGAGCGGCCCATGGTGAGAAGGCTAACGACATCGTGGCTGGACTAGGAGCAGGGGAGGCCGAGACGATGGAACCGAATCAACAACAGTTGTATGGGGAATATCATTGAGAGGTCGGAGATTGAGTCCAGTATCATGCATAGTGTGAGTGGATTGGGGCGGCGGACGTAGGTGGAGATGCGATATGTATCCATGCCGAAGCGAGGTACAAGGCTATTGACTGGATCAACAGCTAGGCAAGGTAGTACTCAATTAGCCCGTTGAGCCGTGCTCGCTGGTCGGCGAGCTTGCGAAATATACGTACAAACGCGGCAAAGTGGTTGGCCTGGACTGACATGGAACATTACTAGATAGTCAGTCGTTTGTGTACGCATGAGCATCAAGAAAGCGCCTCCAAGCAGCTGTCAGGGGCAGACAGCTCTTGGCATCAAAGAAAAAAACGGTGGTGTCCCCACACTGGGGCTGTTCTCATGTGCTCGCCATCTGGGGAATTGTATAATCAGATGTCAAGGGCAACCTCGTTGAAGCCCTCATGCATATAAAAAAACATCATAAGCAATCCGAACAGAACAAGTCGATAGGTGCCCCGACGGTGAGGGTAGTGTTCGTTTGATATCCTTTTGTCAAAACAACGAGTTGGCCCAACCGGTTTGCAGGCAATGGATATTTCGTTTGAGCGGCTGCGTACGGAGCGTTACGCTGTAGTAAATAGGCCGGCTTGGCGGAGGTGCCTCCGGGAAGTCCCCCATATTATCCTCATTGGGTCGGGGCTATGGCTAGCGCGAGCGAAGGAGTCATGAACCCTGAAACCTGGAAGAAAAACATGAAGCCTCTGGACAAGCATCTGGTTGTCGACTCCACAGACCCAATGTAGTTTCGCGTAGGGCTACATGGTTGTTGCCTAATTGTCGACGATATCGCATCTTGACGATATTAGATATCCCCCTTTGGTGTCTGATCTGCAAAGCATGGCCGAGCCTAGACGAGGAAGATTTGCTGGAAGATTGCTCTGAGACACGGCCGTTAGGTTCCAGGCTAAAGCCGACAAATCGACAAATCGACAAATCATGGAGCTGTATGTACTTGTACCCAAGTAACATTGGAAAGAGATCGGGTCATATTATGAGGTCAACTGATATATCGACATGGGGATCCGCGATACCAAGGCGCGGGGTATGGCGTGGCCAAGAACACGGAGCATTGGCATCATCTTCAGGCACTCGACCTGATCGAATCTTGCCAAGCGAGCCATATTGGTTCTAGAAGATCAACAGTGTGGCGACTTTGAGGATGGAAACCGTTTGCTTGGGATTCTCGAGAATTGATAGCGGGCCTGTGCCTGCAGACGATTAATCTCCTGTGCGGTCAAGCAAGACCCTGCCCCTCGCTGACTATACGTTGCATCGGCGTGCCTGCTTTGTGCGGTATGTCAGTGGTGCTAACCCCAGATCCGTTTGATTGGAAAGCAAGATTTGCCCGCTTTCTCATCTTCTCCTTTTTTTGGTCCTATTTTCCTCATCGTTGTAAGACATCTGTGGTTGGGTTCCCACGGTGAGCGCAGCCAACAGCCCGCAGCGGGTCATCCAGCGTATTCAGCCTAAGAAACCGAAAACTCCGTTGACATCTCCCGGCGGGAGAGCTAGAGCTGTCACTCAACATGACTAGCGGGATGGAAATTGCATGTCTTATTAGTTGGTTGAAAAGAAGCAAAGGTCGATGATTCTGTTGGTCTAATGTTTAATGACTCTCAGCTCCCGCAATTCATCTGGCTGAAGAATGGAGAATGGAGAATCTCGATTTCCGCAAAAGATGAGCGATTGATGGCTTGATACGCGACCGTTCGTTCCTGCAGCACATCTCTCGGACCGCCTATTAGTCCCGTGCCTTCCTCAACTCTGCCGCCATACAATAGCACATGGAATGGCCGCTGCTAGCCTTAGCCCGGCTCTGTTTGTACCTGTAGTACCTCTATAACACCGCCTATCTACAGTACCTTATTCTCCTTACTCTAGCACCTACTAGGTCAGGTACCTTGGTAGTGCGAAGAATCAATCACGACAAACTCGCCTCTACTACCTGGTGTCTGATAATACAGGCAGCACAAGGAACTGCTGGCCACTAACTCATCCCCTGTACCAGGACGTCATTGCAATCCATGCTGCCACGCCGCCATTGCAATTCCATCCGCTCCAGTCCAACTTCATCCGGGCAAGCCAGTGGCGGACAGAGATAATCAATACCGCAACGGCCATCGACTAATTGCCGACGATCCAAATTCTCCAGCGTCAGCAAGTCGGCTCGAGGATGGGCGCCAGCCGAGGCTTGCTGGGAGATTCGCTGCCCATGATCAGCGCCTCTAAGGGCCGGACTGACTTGGAAGCGTCGTCGTGTTAGCTCGTCGAGATCCTTGTCGCCAGCCCTTCCAGGATCGATAATCTCTTAGATCCGGCGTCTGAAGCGTTTGCACCAGTCGAGCGCCGACCTAGCGCCCCCATCCGCGAATCCCAAACGGCAGCAGCACCGGGAATCTTGAAAAGGGCGAGCAATAAGGGGTCGAGGTTTGATAGAGCTGGTCCAGTCGATATACCGCCAATTCATGCTGCTACTCTATCAAACAAGCCGCTGCAGCCACTGGGAGCGTTTGCCACGTGTTTGCGAGTCTTCTTCCTTTTTGAGTTCCAGCTGCAATTTATAGCTAACACGCCAGCGAGTCATGCCTTTGCTCTCCAACGCAGGAGTCATGGCTGTGGGACCGGGCAGCGCCGCACCTATCACCGGCCGGCGGCCGCACGGCACGGCATCGAAGAAAATTTCAACGGGCTCCTTTCCTCTACCCAATTTTGTCTTACAGGCAGGCTGTGGCGGCTTCACGGAGCAAAGGAAACGAAAGTGTCACGAGGCTAGGGGCCTCATTTCAAAGACAAACGAAGTTTCATGCTCATACTGGTCTCTAGATGGGGGTCAGTCTGCGACGATGCATGATATCTTTTAGTGACGATCAGGTTCGTCTCAGTTCTGCGTCGCCTCCTGCGGCATATCAAGGTCTTCCATGTCAGCCTTGTCCAGCATTCTTGCATATCATAATCGACCACGAATGAGAGCCAGACATCGGTTCCAAGACGGCCTTTTTGCGGAGACAGTATGTCATTCGCGCGGCCAACTCCCTCCTCAGAATATGGAGTATGCTTCTGTGGATACGGTCTTGTTAGCTGAGCAGTCCGGGCCCTGACGGCTCCGTCCCTCCGCAGAGCTATTATGCTATTAGATGCTATTAGATAGCAATAGCTCTAAGTTTCAGACTTAGCCCCGTTTGCGTTTGGTTCGACGACCATCGCTAAGGCGAAGACACGTTTGTGTCTCGCTGATCGCCTCTGAAGCTCAAGCCTTTCGACAATCGCCGTTTTGCAACGCTGGTACGCATTAAGTTTACCCCGGGATTGCTAATCACAAGCACGAGTAAGTACCAGGGAGCACGGATACTTTTTCTTTTTTGAGAAAAGTACTCTCCTAGAGTAGTTAACCCAAACCTGGTTTTCCACGTAGTTGTCTCTTTGCAGGCTGTGCTACGCCCTTTGGAGTTGTAGGTCCGGGTTTTGGAGACAAAAATCGATGTCTTAGTGTTCTAGTGAGATATGCCGGCTCGTGATTTGCTAGCCCTTTCTTCTTTTTTCTTCACCGGTACATTACGGAGTCCTACAAATGCCGGTTTTGTTCTAGAATATCTGGCGCGCGGCTTGAAACGGTGAACCAATGCGCCTCATTAAGATGCTGACACGATTTTATATGTCCGAGGAGGTAGCTTCGGCCAGTTGCTGGACGCTCGCTCCACAGAGAGCAGATATTTTTGGTTGCTACAAACCGAATTCTGGGACTGCCTCTCGTATTCAGCGCCCCCAAACTCATCCACTCGCCCACCCATCAAATTTCTCTTCAGCGATGATGAGGGCATCAGAATGGAAGGGCATGGCACCTTTCATGGAGAAATGCAAGATTGTAAGGTAAACAACGTAGTCTGTGCACCCGTATTATCTCCATCCCTGACTCAGGGGTAAAATTCGACATGTCGCCATGCAAAACTACATCATGGTGGACTGGGCATTTAGGACCGTGAAGCGGCTAAACGGTGTGAAAACGGGAAAATATCCCAGTGTATCAGAGCAGACGTGATAGGCTACATGTCGGCATTAAAGAAAAAAACTTGAATACTGACAGCGCCGAAGTGAGGTGTATCTTTCGGTCAGTGTTCAAGGTTCTGTTGACCAGCATATCGCATGGAAGAGCGACATATCTTTCCTTTTCAAGGACCGGCTTCTCACCTTTGCCAAGAAAAAAAGTGCCGCGAAGCCCGAGGGGATTTGATATCCACCCGGGAGACTCTTCCGCTGCTGGAGTCTCGTGACTTTGTATCCAGAGGTGCCTCTGTCATGAAGAATTTTGTGTGTATGCCCGCTATGACGAGAAGGGGAAGATGATATTGGTCTCTTGGGGTTTTCTTCTTCATAGAAGCAGAGGATAAGCTTTTGGCTGAGTGGTATGAGCTCTTTTAGAGACTTGTACCTAATTTGCCCAGGTTGAGTAGTTACAATTTCTTGATTTGCTTCGTGGATCAACTGCGCTTTTGGAAGTTACCCGTCGGCACGTAACGATGTAGCCTAGTTGATATAGATTTGACTACCAATTGATGGATAATATTTAAATAGCCTACTACTACTTAAGTAACCTTAATCATAGTTTCTAGATAATTATACGATAGTTATTTAGATATGTCGTTCCCCGAGTGATCTGGCGTATTACTCTATTCACGGGTAACCTCCGATCCAAATATCAGAAACCCACTGCACATGATGTCTCCGGAATGAGTTTGGACATATTTTACTTGTTGTAACAACTAATAAACATGACCGCCAAAAGAAACTTATGTCTTATTCGAGTGTATCCTTGTCCCTTATGATAACTCCCGAACCCTGATATGTTAGATCACTAAAAGTAGTCACACACCGTTACTAAACAGCAAAGCAGTATTGTATCGAGTCTTTCTATAAGTTATTTTTACATTCCGTTCGTAGTTCCTCCCAATTGGGCTGACTTTCGTAAATACTCATCGCATAATGAGCCGCGAATTATTGCACCGTCGATGTCAATGCTGTATACATTGCACGTAACGTAGCTCTAGCGAATATCAGTTGCAGTAATATCCATGCTTGGCACAGTTGTAATATCTCATATTCAGATTTAATAAGTATAAGGCAAAGCACAACGGCATCTCCGGCAGTTCATCAATTCAGGTGCGAGCTGCATGTCCTTACCCCAGACCTCATCATGCTCCGCCAACGGTTCATGCCAACCCCTGCTTCTCGTTTACTGCAAAATTCAGGGGAAACATGTCTCCAAGACATGCTCGATACGACATATTCGCACAAAAGCAATGTCTATCTACAAGCGAGAAATCACGTCAAACAGTCTTTAATCTCGTTTCTTGCGGCATAATTATTTCGGGGCTGAAGTCTGTGGGCATGGAAAGATCGGTGTTTTTTTTTTTTTTTTTTGGCGATTCATCCTTATATTTTCGTTCAAAGATGTAGCACTGACGTATAATTTTCTGGAATTGAGTTCTGAGTGACATTATAGATGTCAACCTCTCACTTACTCCTCTTTGTTACCCGTACTCGTATATAGGCAGATAGGTAGGTAGATCAATGAGTGCTATATCTGATGCGTACTCACAGAATATGTTTTCTTTCTAATAAATCGTGATATAAAATAGATATAATTGTGATCATGTTTCCTAACATTACTTTGGATAGAGAGCGACATTGGGAGGCCGGACCATCTTCCACTCATCAAGCGTATCATAGGCAATAACAACATTAATCTCAAGATGGCTCCCATTGTGCGATACAGAAAATTCACCTTGACATAGGTAATTTTCATATCGAACTCGGTATATGTTAACGATCAGACCATTCCAATTCACCTGTTCATATCGAATTCATTATATGTAAACTATCAGACCATTTCAATTCACCATAAGACATCTCCCTCAACCGGACAGCTCTTAGCTAATCTCATCCTTAGCATCACATCACAACATCACCCTCCTCCATCACCAAACTGCAAAAGTGTTCATTAGCGTATGTGTTCATAGTCACATCTTCCACTAAACCACCTCGTTGGGCTCCCGTCATGTCATCAAATCCTCCTCATCCACAAAATAAGCACAGCAACGTACACCGATCCTACGACACTCTCACCCATCATCTTCGAACAGCTGGCAATGGCAACGCAAAGATACTCTGCGACTGCGCTGGCTATCTAGCCAAACAACACGTGTCAATTCACTCATGCAAAACGCCGGACCAAATTCTGACCACCTTCAAAGACTACTGGCTCACCATCCGAGCAATAAGCACCTTTGAAGCTACTGGCTAACATACGAGCAATAAGCCCTCTCATGTACGTCAGCCAGTAAGTAATCCGCACCCATCTCTACTGCAAGTATATAATACGTGTGCGTGTGCGTGTTGCGCGCAATCTGCAGCGTAAGGCAAGGCTACTGTACTGACAGCGCTGACACCGTGAGCCGTGGAGAAAAGTTCCGTCGTCTATTACGGTTTGAACTTTTGGCTGGGTTTCATTCTGGGCGGAATGCGAAATGGTGAGTGCTTACTTGCTTTTTGTGACAGGTCCTTCTGTTTTCACGGGCAATGGGCTCCATTAATGGCATCAATGTGACAGATCGCATCTCGGTTATAAAAACCTCTCGTCTGCCCTTTGATAAGCCGCATCAAACAAAACGATTGTGCCAGCCGTTGCGGGATTGCACGGAGCTCTGACGAGCTGGCCTCGGCGTGAGATGAAGCAGGAATGCATGAATTCAAGGCCGGCGTCTTGGTACTTTGAGCTGAACAAATCTTACTGGGACCAGGCACATGGCGGTATTGGCAGCTGAGAAACAAGCATGAAATCCTCGCAAGCCCCTCTCGCGCTATCATTATTCTTATTATTACCTGTCATCGTAACAGCAGCGGAAAAACAAGACAACATGCCGTCTAAAGCACTCTCGCATGCTGCAGCGCTCATGCATGGCTCAAATGGCACCACGTAGGGTCGCAAAAAAGCATCACATGCATTGTCACTATGCGACTTGCGGATATGAGTGCAGAAGGCCTAAGCTGCATGCGAATTGAATCGTTAGCACCAACAGCCCGAAGCCGAGCATCTGCATATCCCGTGAATAAACGTGATGCGACCTTCTGCGGCCACTCGGACTAGTCAAACCACCATGTTGGTCGTGGTGTACCGGTACTTTGCGCCAGAATCTGCTCCACACTGCCGCTCGACAAAAAGAGAAGCTTGTCTCACCACGGCTTCGCGAGGTGGAGACTGGGCTCCATATTCTTGAGCAGACGAGGATCGGTCCGGTTTGGCTTCACGGGAGCTAGTCATTTGTCAAGGGCGACGAAGGTTATGTATGGAGGATAGAGAAAAGGCAGGACAGACGGAATCGAAGGAAACACCAGCAGGTTCATCATCCTGTAAAAGCACACATCGCCATCCGGTGGTTCGGTTTTATTTGAGTCCCTCCCAAAAGAAAAGAGAGCTGAGAAAAAACAAGAAAAAACGGTGACCTGATGAGATTGGAATAGGTAGAGAGGCTGGGGAATGAAGAAAGGGACAGAGAGTTGATTTCGACAGCTGGGCCTGCCAGACACACAAGGAAGAAAGAAGATGATACTTTGCGAAATACCGCCGAGTGAAAATGTAATACGCTCATAAATCGCTGATCTCAAGTAGAGACAGACAAGAAAACGGAAGATATCCGAACAGATGGAAGACGGAGGGGAAGACGGAGAGAAGAGGAAAGAAGAGTTTTTCGAAAGAGAGAGAAAAGGGGTAAAGGGGGAAGGGGGTATCACTTTTTTTCTGCCTCCGTCTAGAGCTCAAGCTAAATGTGCCTGAGTGTGCAAAAGGCCAACCTAGGGTACGTTTTCCATCTATCCAATCCAAAATTGCTTCACCATGTCTTGAACATCATGCCTAAACACCAACATTCCATAAAGCAAAAAGTCAAAAAGCAAAAAAACAAAAACTGGACCTATCTGGCAAATCAGCTCAAAAATCGCTGTTGATAAAGGAAATAGGAAGAAGAAAGAACAAGGCCTCCGTAAGCACGAGCTAAACAGATATAAAAAGAACAGAAAAAAAGGGCGAAACGAAAGAAAATCATAACAATGAGCTCATTTGGAAGCTTTCGCCATATTCAGTCATGGCATCGCTGTTATCAATTAGCTCATGTTGCTGATAGACATGCCTAGGACCACCGTCAGATGCGGCCCGCGACAGCTGGGGCGATCCCTGGCGAGTTGAGTATTCCGAATTGTCGCTGGTTATGGGTTTGAAGAAGCCATCCGTCAGAGACATGGTGTTATCACGCCACCAATAATGCATTACGTCGCACTGCCAGCGCCACATGTCTCGAATTTTGAGAGAGCGGCTTGCTTGGAAAGTGGACCGCAGAAGCACGGCATTGAGCGGGGACAGTCGCAGTTGATGAAGCAGCCACCGATTCACATAGTCGGCTTTCTTCCCGCCGTCACACTCTCGCATGAGATTGTCAATGGCATACTCCTTGGACGCCAGCCTCTTCTTCACACCCTTCTCGGGATGGTGATTCGGGAGTCGGATGGCTGCTTTGAGAGCTCCCAGTGGGGTGAGTGGCTCATCAGCTAGCACATGGTCTGGCTGAGACAGTAATTCATTGAACTCGGCATGGCCCAATGTCTTGCGACTGCTGAGGATTACCTGTTCGTCGTCGAGATCTAGATCTTCATACTTGATCTGTGGATCTAGTGCGTACTCCATCTTGACGGACATGTGCTTCTTCATGATTCCCCTGTCTTCGCAAATCTTCCTGAGGCGACTCACTTGGGATTCGAGGTTGGTTATTACGCCAACCATCCGCTCCTCTTCGGATGGGAACTCGTCAAAGAATTCCTTCATGTCTAGCTCATCCGGGGTCTTCTGATTGGTCGTCTTTTTCAGCAGCTGCTCTTCCTCGTATTGCTCTTTGGTGGAGAGGAGGTCTGCATATTCATCCCGAGCATTCCCCAGATATCCCACCGTTGATGTTAAATCAACATACAAGGGATGTGGGTCTTCGACGGGGCCGAACGGAGATATGCCTCTGAGCTCATATGGTATTTCCACCTGATCAATGTTGAAGTTGGCAGCACCAGAATCGCTGGAGACGTCGAGCTGACGCTCTTCTTTGGTTTGGCCAGCCGCCAAGATGCTGAAGAAGCGCGTTTCAAGGATGCTGAGATCACGCTCTTCCTCGTCCAACATGGCCTCGAGCGTCTCATAGCTAGATTCCAGAACTTGGTAGTCATCTCTCAACTGCTGCATCTTCTCCAGCCGCGATTCAAAGAGGCTAGAATGGGCCTGAAACAGATCTCCTCGGCTGATCAGCACAGGCCGCACGACACTCATAAAGGCATTGTCGGCTGCATCCTTCTCACGCCTCTTTTGCCGCAGCGCCTTTCTCCTGGACCGCATCTCTGCCCTTGTGCCACTTAGTTTAGCTCTCTTCTCTTTCAATTGCTGCCACAGCATTTCTATTTCACCATGGGATGAATCATTGGAATGCAAAGAGTCATCTAGGTGTGACTCGGTGTCAGTGGGATGTAAAACTGCAGAAATGTCACCCAATCTCGATCGAGATCTGGTTGGACTCCTCGACTTTTCGTATTGTGATACCCATGCCGTGATTTGATTTGCCGCAGAGGATCTGCTCCGAGGGGCAGATGGCCCATAGGACGGGCCAGCGGGAAGCTGGGGAGGGAACTGCCTAGCATTACGATAGGCGATTGGATCTTCATTAGATGAAGATGAAGAGCTCCAAGTCTCATCATCTTCAAGTCTGTTCGATGAAAAAGTTAGTGCTTCATCCTCAGGGCCATTACTCCGCCGACGATAGGACCGTCCCGAGTTCCGTTTACCTCGGGACGGTCGTGGTCGCACATAATTATTGATTGAAAAACCAGGAGCAGACTGGATCAACTGCTGCGTGCTGACGGATGCCTGAGATGAAGGTGGTGGTGCGTAATTGTTGTCGGCCAGGCTAAGGTCCGGCCTGCTCATCGTCGGGAGGTTAGAAAAGTAAGAGGAGGAAGTAAGTGGAGGAGAGTTGAGCGGCGGCGGAGGTGGTGGCGGCGGGTGAGGAGGGACGCCGAGGCGTCGAGCTCTGTGACTATCATCGCTTCTGTCCCGCTCGACAAGTAATGGGAACGGTGACGATGGCTGGGCCATGCCAGTACTGCTGGTAGGCAACGGAGGTCGAATAGGCCCATATCGAGATGATTCTGCCGGGTTGGGCTGATGGGATCGGGTAGCCTCGTTCGGGCTCCTCGGCAGAAGTCGACTGGCTCCCCTTGCTCCGCCACGTCCTCTCCCGCGACCCCGTTCCGTCCCTCGCCGAGGAGGAAATGCGGGAGGTAGAAGAGGAAGAGGAGAGAAGACATTGGAAATCCTGCCGGGAAGAGGCGTCCGACTGCCAGCCGAGGCGAAGGGAGTCAGTGGCGGGCTCGACACGACGGGATCGGGCGTGGTGACCCTGCTGGATATCGTCGACGTGTCGCTATGGAGCCTCCAGCGGTCGCTCTCTTTAAAGTCCTCGTCCTCGTGGGATGATGCGGCGGCAGCAAACGTGACGAGTGACACGTCCGTAGAGCCGTCCATGCTGCCGGTGCTGATGGGATCGCCCAGAGACGTATTGCCTGGGCTGGCTGGTCCCTGTACGGCGGCGTCCATGGAGGCGGCTCGAGTATGCTGGCAGTGGCTCAACGCTCAGCATTGCCCATCGCTGATCATCTTTCCGTCTCGATGACATCCAACGTCGGTGAGGCGTGACAGGATGCGAGAGGTGTCGGATCGCGGCCAGACGAGGCTCTGTGGGCTGGACCTAGAGATGACGAGCAGCGGGACCGACGCGGCTCATCTAGCTGCATCCAATGTGTATCTGCGTGCGAATGAAAATCGGGCGTCCACAGTGGCAAAACACACGTCGCTTCAGACGAGCAGGATGAGCCAGGAAAGCTCTCTGGTTTGCGGCCACATATGAGTGAGCAGGCAAGTGTGTCTTGTCGTGAAACTGCGAGAGTAAACGTGGGCCGTATGTTTGCTTGCATGGAGAGCTCAAGCTGCCCGGCTCAGCATCCATCTGACTGGCAGCGAATAGCGCCAGCCAGAGCATGGCCCAGCGCGCCAGCGGTTGGTCGAATCCCCTGTGGCTCCCCTGTGGCAGCAGGTGCTAGCACTGTCGTCGACGCCTCCCCGGCGCGCTAGCGGTTCTGCAGCGTATCAAGCGTCACCCACAGCGTAGCACCAGCCCGCTAACCCGCTAGCCCTACAGAGCGTCGGCGAGCACAGTCCGGCCACTAGACAGTGGGTTAGCAGCGCTGAAGCTCCACCGCGCGCGGGGCTTTCCGTCCCTAGCGGCGCCCACGGTCTGTGCCAGCCCCAACCGGGCATGTCACTCTACCTCGACATCATCACCATCGACCTTCGACCCGCATGGCAAAATCGACTAGTCTTTTCCACCATACGGCCTGCATCTGCGAGGATACGAGAGCAAAACACCTGGCCGTCGCTCAGCGCTGGGGCTCCTGCGGCCGAGCCACCTGACAGGGCCTTGGACCGAAGGGCTGCAGGCCAAGGTGCATGGCGGAGATGGGCGATCCCCAGCAGTGCTTTGCGTCTATTGAGTGAGTGCTCCATGGTGGGAATGGGGTCTCGTCGTCATTGTCTGCTGGTTTTGTGACGGACGGACTTGACTGGCCGCTGTCTCATCATGTCTCAGTATTGATGTACGAGCAGCCAAGGTACTACGCTCGCTGACACCCAGCGTTGGCTTGGCTTAGCTGGCTGGGGCGAAATCCAGCTGGCAATATGCAGGCAACATTGAAGACCAGACACAAGAGAAACCCAGCTCAGCGAAAACCGCACAAAGCCGCACACCACCTCCGAATCGGGGCCGCCTCCACGGGCCTCAGAGATCGTCCCATAGCGCAATGCGACTGCTGGCCAACGTCAGGATGCATTTTGCGCGCAGAAAAGCTGCCCATTAGCCGGAGAGACCCTTGTCTGCGCTGTCGACCTTATGTGCTCTCTTACGAGTATACATGGACGCCACGCCATGGCCATTGACTTGATCTGCCCAGCAGCGGCGGCGGCAGCTCGAGGTAATGTAGCTAAACAAGCGCCCAGCGATGCATGCCAGATGTCTCCATAATCCTATCCGCCAGCGCCGCAGCTTGCTTTGCTAGCAGCAGCTCGCAGCAATCCACTCACTCAACCTTGCGGCACCACCCAATACAAGCATACCAACAGGCCCGGGGAGCACTCGGGCCAGGAAGCAAGTGGACGACCCACGGAGGCTCGCGCCAATCTGGGCCATAGGAACAGGCCCAAACGTTCCCCTCCCGCCCGTCGCTGTTTATCATCTCGCGCTGGTGCTGGACCTGGAGCTGGAGCTGGTTGCTTTTTTGCTTCTTCTGCGTCTGCTGCCGCTTGCAATCATTCTTAAAAGGCCTTGGATTCCGCATTGCGTCCGGCCTTGCAACCCGTCCCCTCCGTCCGCCTGCCTCGACCAGAGGTGCTTTGCGCCTGTGCCTGTGCTCAGACCATTCGGGCTTCACCCGGTCCTTTGCGCCGTCCAGCACAAAGCGCCGGATGATCTTGTAGCTTTCCCGCGCTGCTCTGGGCGCAAAATGCCACAATGTACCACGGGTCCAAGTCAAAATCCCATCAATGGGGCAGCTGGTCCGACTGGGTTTTGGATGAGAACCACCACCGCTACTATCGTTTTCGCCAGGATTCTGAAGGTGCGAAAGACCCTCCCCGCGCTTGACATTTCTCATCACCGCCAACACCTGTGTGATACTTGTTAGGGAATTACGACTATGACTGGGACCAGCACGACTCGGCCGCCGCCGCTCATGCGCAAACTCCGCGAGACACAACGATCAACGACATAACCGAGGGCCTCAAAGGCCTCACCACCGACTATGATGGCTCAAGTGCGTTTTATCCACTTACCTACCAAGTCGCACTGGTTGCGCCGTGACAAACTCTCTGGAGCTTGTGTGGCGGGCCACGATCGGCATGCGTATACGTGATAATTGGGTGACTGACGTTGGAGAGTGCCTTTGCAGTATCCGAAGATCATTTGTCAAACTCGAAATCCGGCAGGCCCAAGAGCAAGCACCGGCACCGCACAGGCTCCCACGATGAGGACTCGGCTCAAGGCGCCTACAGAACCTCGACGGCAGAGTCGTTACATGTGTCCCAGGCGGGGCAGTACGATTACATGGCAAGCCAATGTAAGTTGTCGCAGCTGCAGCGAAATAATGCTCCAGTCATTCACAGGATATCTCATAACTAGACGTCCACGGATCATCCGATGCGCAGTACTACCAGCCGTCGACATCAGGTATATAGCCAATGGCCAATATCCCACCGCTGTCGGCGATTGACTGACTGACAAGATTTTGTTGGCGGGGTAGACTCTCAATCGGCTCCCGTGTACGGTGCAAGAGAAGACCGATCAGCTGAGAATCACGCAGCTGGTGAGTGCGCCCACAAATGCTCTATCTCAGCCCCTCGTCCTTGGTTCCTTTATTTTTTTTCAATCTTCAATTTTTCCGTCAATTTATTACAATTTTTCCAGTTCTTCATTTCCTTGGTTCAATGCTGAAAATTGTTGCCAGACCGAGACCGACCACTGCATGGGTACGACGAGCGGAACCATTACGACCAGCGAAAGCACAGCCCTGACCAAGATCACGAAGACGACGAGTTGGCAAACACTATAGCGGAGAGCCAGGACTACAATGCGTACGCATATGCGAATGCTGGAGAGTCATCAGCATCGGCTTATGGTATGATGCTCTTCCGCTATTTTTTACATCACGCTGAAGCTAATTGCGCTATGCAGCTCAATATGACGACGACGAAGACGAGGGCCCGCCTACGCCAAAGGCTCAGTCAGGAGCAGGCAGTTATCACATTGCGGCACTCGAGGAGCCATTGGAAGAGCTAGATCCACGTAGGTTTTGGTAATCATTTTTGCATGGCACGCACCAGTAGAGCTGATGCTTAAGACTAGGTTATCGAGTTGAACCGTCCAGCAAGTTTCAACCAGGCGAGGTGTGTACTGCAACCAAGGCCCTGCCCCGACGTCTGGAGATAGAATGAGTCTGCTAACAGTAATTCTGGGAAGATATTTAAAGTCCATTGGTCGGAGCCGCAAGGCGCCAGCTCCGAAGGCGCTCCAAGCGTGTCCGGCAAACATGAAATCCAGAACCGCTTCGGAACAAAGTTTTTTGTTGGTTTCCGGCGCTTTATCGTGATAGCAAACGATCAGGGCCATTGCACCTGCGTGTATGTTCATATCAAGCCCCCTCCCTTCTTGAGTGGTCATTCTAACGGTTGACAGACCTATCCTGACGTACGGTGGCAAAGCCTGCAAAAAGAAAGGTGTCAAGGCTGACAAGCATGGTATCATCCATGAGCGCGGCAGCAAGCCACGACTACTTGATAAGGAGCCAAAGCTAGGCTTTCCCCCCGTTCGGGTCGAGATGAAAGAAGAGGGCGAGAAGCTCTCAAAAGAATCCCGCGTCAACTACTCAAAGCTGGTCACGGTAGAACACAACGTCAAGGTGTTTTTCATCGGATCAATTGTGTACAATGACTGGGAACTTGTTAGCGATGCCGTAAACCACTGCTGGAACAAAAAGAACCACCAGAAGCAGCGGCATCGGTAAGACCCCGGGGGAAAGCTGATGGCTGGCACAGACACGTTTTTATCATCTCAAGCGGTTGCGCACACCTCGAGCGCATCGCATTCGATGGAGCCGCCTCACCAATGGCAGTGTACCCATCCACAAAATACGTTCCTCGGAAACAGATATCCCACGATGTCACAAGATTCCTGCAAAACCTGTGCCTGGCAATCTTAAGCTGGTATTACAGCATGGGTATCCCCCCGGCATCTCGAGATGCCATTTTTTTAAAGCACAGCATTACGGCCACAACCAGCAAGCATATTTTATTTTCTTCTTCGGCGTCTCGTTGCTTTGCAGTGCCTAATCAGTTTTCCGTTTGAAGCCGTGAAGGCTTGACTGGAAGCGTAGAGTTTCAGCCGCGCTTACGGGGGGTAGATTGCATTCGCTTGCTTTGGCCCATGTGGTGGAAACAGGACACACACATTTATTGCTCGGCTAGCCGGGCCGGCTGGATATCATCAGGATGCATGATTTCTCCTTATTATTCTATACATTGGGTATATTGACATGTTTTTATGTGTCCCCTTTTTTTTCCCTTCACGGCATATATTTTGATGTACAGTCTCAATGCATATTGTCGAAAGCTTGATGTTGCTGCTGAGTGCTTTGGAGGAGATGATGTATTTAACTGCTGCTTGACATGAGTCAGAATATGAGATACCAAATCGTTGCTATAGTATGACTTTTTCAGTTGTAAGTGTTGGGATGGCAAGATTACATGTGGTACACTGTGACACAGCTGGAAAGAAATTCGATGCCATTGAAGGCTGCCATCCAACCTGGTGAGCTAGACCAGAGTGAATGGGGATCGGCGTGTCAGCTCAGGCACCATGGAGAAAAAGAGGGTAGCAACATTCCTTCTAGAAAGCTGCCATTTATATGCAGAAATGAATGGCAATAGTAGAGCTTTTTGGCTTGCATTTCGGCTGCGTCGGATTTATTTCACTGGAGCTGATCATCACTACACTTGTGTTGAGTTCATTGTATAGTAACAATCCAAGGGTCGCCCTTAAAGAATAAATTATTGACAGCTTATCGTGATCATTTATAGATGTAGCACAGAGTATTCTGAGCCATATCTCTATTAATAGCCCTATACACCACCTCCCTCACCGGCTGAGCCCTCGCGCGCAATCCAGTCTCAGTTCCCAAGACATCCATCTCTTCCCACCTCTTCCCAGCCGAACAATCTCTCACCAAAACAACACCAAACCTCAAATCAATCCCTCATAAGCATCCCCCGCACATTTCATCACCATACCACTCTCACCCAAAAAAAAGCATACCGCCATCGAAGATTAGTCGTTCGGTAGTGCCAGATCTAAAATACCCCAGAAAAAAAAAAGAAGGGGAAAAAAAAACCAAGCAGATCTTGATATGTCAGCCTCCCCCCCGGGCCGTCTCTTCCTGTGCCTCGGCATCTTCCCCCGCAATTACTGGGCTCACAAGTACCTCTTCCGCGAAATTTGGCGGCAGAGGTACTTGGTGCCGTATCTTTTTTTCTGGTTTTGGGCGGTGTCCACTTGCATCTACACCGAGGATCTAGGGACAAGGGGGGGCAACACCTTTTGACGTTTAAAACCGTCTTGTAGTGGCCATGTTAGAAGAAAGATAAAGTCCTCCGCTTCTTCTTCTTTGCATTCTTCATTTTGAATTATATACCCTGTTTGCCTCTTTTTTTTTTTCCTTCGTGGATATACGCTTTTTGGTTGATCAATTGCATCCCTTTTTTTCCAAATACGCGTCTAACTTGAAGAACCACATCGCTTCACTCTCTTCCTCAACATCAATCTGCCACAATGTCAGCCGCCGTCGAGGCCACTCTGGAGGACTTCCCTTCGCTCTTCTCCCTCAAGGGCAAGGTCGCCGTCGTAACGGGCGGCTCTCGCGGCCTCGGCCTGCACGCAGCATCAGCGTGAGCTTCTCCATGTCTCCTATATAGCAAAAGCCAGCTAACCCGCCAAAAAACAGCTTCATGCAGGCCGGCTGCTCCAAGGTCTTCATCTCCTCCCGCAAAGCCGCCGCCTGCGAAGAGGCATGCAAGGTCCTCAACGCGCTGCCCGGCCGCGCCGCCGACGCCACGGCAATCTCCGTGCCCGCCGACTCGGCCACCATGGACGGCGTCAACAGCCTTCTCGCCGCAGTGAGCAAGCACACCGACCACGTCGACATCCTGTTTGCCAACGCGGGAGCGACCTGGGGCGAGGCCTTTGACACGCACCCCGATCAAGCCTTTGCAAAAGTCATGGACCTCAACGTCAAAGCCGTCTTCAACACGGTCCGCGTCTTCACCCCGCTGCTCCAGAAGCAGGCCTCGCTCGACGACCCCAGCCGCGTGCTCATCACCGCCAGCGTCGCGGGCTTGGGCGTCGGCACCCTCGGCAAGCAGGGCACGTACGGCTACTCGGCCAGCAAGGCCGCCGTGCTGCACCTGGGCCGCAACCTGGCGCTCGAGCTGGGCCCGCGCGGCATCACCGTAAACTCCATCTGCCCGGGCTTCTTCCCTAGCAAGATGGCCAACGGCTTGCTGGCGCTGTCGGGCGGCGCGGACAAGATTGCCAAGGCGAACCCCATGCGCCGGTTGGGACGGCCGGAGGATATCGCGGGTATTGTGGTGTACTTGACGAGTCGGGCTGGGTCGCACGTAAACGGCGAGGCTATTGCCATTGACGGTGGTGCTTTGTGGTCTCGTGGAGAGATGCTGGTTGAAGAACAGTCAAAGTTGTAATTTTGTGGTTTTTCGTTTGAAACTGCTGGAGCTTGAGCGAGAGGATGAGCAAGACAAGGAGTAGGACACGCATGCATGGGGAATATCCAGAAACTTGTATGATATAATGGCTGTACATAGTGCCGCATGAGTACCGCATCAGACCGGTTAAACAATTTACTGTCTTCTTTTTTTCACTTTCTTTTTTCCCTCGTATAATACACATGTAATATTGGCGCGCATTATACGGCATTTGTAGTTCATTTGTTCCTCTATTTGTCATGTCTGTTGTGTGTTCTTGACATCGTTCGTTTCCTTCTCCACGTCTGTCTTCTTCACATCGCTCGTTTCCTTTTCCAGCGGCTTGCGAGCCACCCACGTCGTCACATTGTACACCGTCTGCAGCATGCTATCCGAATCCTGAATGTACGGCGCTCTGAGGCCCATCTCCATCGACTCTACCACAAATCCCAACTTCTCCACCAGCGCCATAACCTCATCGTTGCTCAGTTCAAAGCTCCCAGGATCAGCAATGCCAGACGAGTTGTTAAAGTCGTGCTCGCCATCGCCGTCATCGTCGTGCCCGTGATTGCCCGGCGCGTTGTTCTCAAAGTGCCACAGCAGGGGGCCGACGTTGATGAGGACGCCGCCGGGGCGGAGGCAGTGGTAGATGACCTCGAGGTATCGAATCAGATTGGGCGCCGTGTCGAGGAAGAAGACGCTGGCGACGGCATCGTAGGAAGATTCGTAGTCTTCGTCGCCGTATAGGCACAGGAAATCGGCGGCGCACATGGACATGGAGCCTAGGTTGGGGGCGTTGAGAAGGGTGGTGCCGGGGTGGATGTCGGGTACGGCGTAGCTGCGGAGGTGGTTCTCCCGAGTTTGGTGGTTGGAGAATGTGTGTATCCATGGGTAGATGGTGTGCTCTCCAGCTTTTGCGCATTCGTTGAGAATGTACGATGATGCCAATAGCTGGTGGTAGGATATTTCATTTCCCTCAGCTTCATAGCCATCCCGGCACAGTTCAAACACCAGTCTTCCCAAACCCGCGCCTGGAACTAGTACTTTCAAACGCCTGCCCTCCGACGCCTTGGTCTCTTTTTCAAGAGCTCTCATCACGGGGCCGTATGATGCGGCCCTTTCCTCTGCGCCAGCTTCAGTCCAGTCGCGATAGAACTGGCGGAGAGTGCTTCTCGCCTTGTCAATGTCTGCATGCTTGGCTACTCCAGCCCACTCATGCGGCATGACCGGCGGGTCAGACTCTGATGCACTGGGAGGTAGGGCATTGAATGAAGTCAATCCTGACTTGAGAATGGCCCGAGCCAAAACGGCGTTGGTGTCAATCGCCTCATCGACCTTGTCCAGTGTGTCAAGGAAGTTGAAGGGAGGCCCGGCGAGGAGCTTCCAGTGAGCCTGAGGGAGGGCGTAGAAGGACCGGCGGCGAAGATGAGTGACGTTGAAGTGGGCGACTTTGGCATATTGTCTGGATAAGGTGTCAGGCCATCATTCTTTATGTGAGAACGATTGATGTGAGGTGATTTGACGTGATGTGAGGTTGCAATGAGGATGGATGTGTCGTATGAGATGAAATGCAGCTTATCAACAAGACCCCAATGTACATGTACTCTGTCCATTCCAACAGTCATGAAGCCATTCAGAGAGGTAAATTCAATCCGCATGAAATAAACACAAGACACGCAACTCAATGTACTCACGCAAACGAATCCAGCGCGCAAAAAATGACCCGAATCTCTTCAGGGTCGTCCATGCCGCCATCCACACTGGCCCATGCGCTCTCCTCGGCCACAGCCAAAGTAGCCCCGCCGTCGTGATCCATCTTCAGCCTGCTTCAACGACGATGTCCTGCGATCATGTTGGTGAGAAGGAGTGTTGGTTGGTGAGAGAGATGAGATGAGGCCGGGAAATAACAAGGTTAAGGTCTATCAAACAAGGTTTCTATTTTTGCTTTTACTTTTTTTCCGGGCCGCCGCAATCGGGTGTTTTTCTGGAGCCCTTTTTGAATTTGTAACCGAGTTGCTTAGTGGGGGAATATGGTTTAGGTGGTGTGTTATCTTTTTTTTTAGCAGCGCTAGTAATAGTGAGCTTTGGTTCACTCTCACCAAAGGTGAATCATGTGATTTCATTGAGTCTCTTTCTCATCGCTGCTATTGACTGGAGATACCAGACGCTTCACTCCTCAGTTTCGGGAGAATATACTTCATCTACACAATACATTTCTCAATACTCGTCATGGCCACCGATTCAAACAGGGTCATTGAGGCCTCCATTCCGCTGCCGCGGTCTTTGGATACTCGCATTTTCATCCGCATCACAACCCAGGCCAAGGCCATTCTACTATCCTTGACAACAGTGTCTCAGGAAGATTTTGCTGCCCCTAGGCCAATGGGCTCATTTGTCTATGCGCTCCCCGATGTACGTCTTGAATATTTGTATCGAATATGACAGCTTGAGAGACGTATAAACTAACGCCAATACCAGAGATTCAATCACCAGCAGGCAATCGCCACTACACTCTTCTCCGCAGAGTCATCCCTAGAGTTTACAACACGAGTGGCAAAGCTGGTCGCCCGAAAGACTGAGCTCCCAGTCTACGTGACAAATTCCATCAGCTTAGAGAGCATGGGCATGGGCGGCACAGTCGAGGAGGAAATGGAGGCTTTCAAGAGCGTGGCCGAGGCAATCTTGAGCCTCCTCCCCAAGACAGCACTCCCAAGCTAGAGCGGCAGCCCCCCCGGTGTGTAGATGATAGTTTACGAAGCAATTTCATGGTCGCGACAGAGCAAGGCCTCACGTGCTTGCATGCCTATGATGGGAGGCATGATCTGCCCTGCCTATCAAGGGGAGATGTGCTAATCTTGCAGCACGCTGCACCCTTGCTGACTGGCTCGAGAAGCCTTCCAGAACGAAGGGATCTGCAACAGCATATCAACTAGGCCATATTCGTGAGAGCATCAGTCTGGTCTGTTGGGCGAGTCACATCTGAAATACCACTTCACCCGAGAGTCACTGCTTTCGGCTAGTTCTCGTCGAACGTTATTGTTTAAAAATGCATTGAATAAATGTAGATAGCCTAGTTGGAAGATAACGGGCCGAGAAATCTTCAGTCATGAGATGGGGTTTCCATGTTACATACATTACATATTCTTGCACCATGAGATCAGGCCTCGTGGTGAGGGGGAGAGCCTGTAAGGTACGGGTGCTATCACAATAGTGGCAGGTCGCTAATAAACAGCACGAGTTTGACAATGCTGCAATTGCCTGGCGTCTGATTGATCGAATTATTAGCATGTGAGCTACCCCTCTGTCACGGAGATGCCGGTACGGCCGCCACAAATACCGACATTGCCTGGGACATGCTTTAATCAAATCTTTCGTTGAGTGCTACTAAGGTACGGAGTACGAGTATGTCACAGAGGATAAAGCAATAAGCGCTGGCCAGCCACCTTCTTTTCCACTGCGTGCAACGGGTACCTAGTACTTGCTATGATGGCGTGTAAGGTAACCCTTGGGGTGGTATCGAGACGCACTGGCTACATGCTTGTTCAAAAAGATGTCCCCAAGAGGTCTCTATTTACAGAGGCTAGGTGGTGATAGAGAAAATATAGTTGAATGACAACAGTGGTGATAACAGGAAATATTGCCGTTACTGATACATTCCATGTTATCTATCAGATACCCGTAAACCCACTACGAAAGGTACATTCTGCACTGCAGATACCAAGCCGGAACCACTCCGATTCTTCTTCATCACAGTCACCTGACTTTGCATTGCACATGCACACTGTCAGTGGTTTAGTAGCACGCTAAACACAGCAGAGCATTAGCACAGTTGACTCCATATGTACGATTTTTTTCTCCCCTAAAAATTTGCCCATGGTCCCTCCTATTCCCGTTTCGCCTCGCCCATTGCCCACGGGTTATCGTTATCGCACCCCGCTACGAAATTTGGCCGCCAAAAAAGAGGTGGGTTTGCTCCCCGCCAAATCAAACCAAACCGCTCGAGGGCGCACAAGGTTTGGCGCATCGTCTCTCTTTCGGCCACGAGGAGAATCTGCTCAGTTTGCTTGCTGCAAACATTCGAGCCTCCGCCTTCCACGAAACGACCTCGAGCGCCTGGCTTCTCGATCCCCAGAGTCAGAATCAGAGTCGACACCAAGTGCCGTCTCGGCCAACGCCTTGAATCCTCGGACCCGCCTCCAAAAACCCTCCAACCGCCACCAAGTTCCTCGAACATCAGGGGTCCTTTGAGCCGGTTCCTTGCTCTTGTCTTGTACGCCCTGTTGCTACGCCATGGGAAGCCATGTAGGATGCTAATTCGCCTTGACTCTGAAAAGTCTATAGCTGCCACTTCATGTCCTAGAGCACCGCCAATCAGCAAACCCGCAACCAAGCGCATCGCATTGCTCCTCTAGCGCGCAGCGAACTGCTGCCACCACTACCGCCCATCATGTCGTGGCAACCAGCCCCAGAGTCGTTGAGCCAGCTTGCAGCATGTCTCAAAGACTCCCTCAGCGGCTTTGACAAGAGCGCCCAGAAGCAGGCTGAGCAGGTCAGTGTCAACCCAGAGACGGACTTGCTTGATCGAATGAATGCTGACCGAGTATTGAGCAACCAGATGCTTCAGCAAGCTAAAAACTCGCCTGATATCAACAATTATCTAGCTTACATCCTCTCCAGCCCCCAGACGCCCGAGGGCCTGCAATGCAGCGACCAAGACTATCATCTTGTTCGATCAGCTGCGGGTATCATGCTCAAGAACAATGTCAAGACCGACTGGAAATCAATCCCAGAATCGAGCCTGCAGCTCGTCAAGCTCGCCGTACCCATGAGCTTGCAAGATAAGAACTCTCAGATTCGGAATTTCGGCGGAAACATTGCTACTGAAGTCATCAAGAAGGGTGGTTTGATGGGATGGCCCGAGTTGCTCCCTCAGCTCCTCGAAATGATTGGCAACTCGAACGGCCAATACTCCAACGAAGCTCAGGAGGGTGCCATGTCTGCCTTGTCCAAAATCTGCGAGGACAACTTCAAGATGCTGACCAAGGAGGTCAATGGCCAACGACCACTTAACTATGTTCTTCCACAGCTCATTGCTGCGACCAAGAGCCCCCTCCCGAAAGTACGTGTTGGGGCACTGACGGCTATCAACGTCTTTACCCCGAGGGCATCACAGGCCATGGTCAACAGCATCGATGACCTGCTCCAGCATCTCTTTGTCCTATCAGGGGACGAGAACACCGATGTGCGCCGCCAGGTGTGCAGAGCTTTTGTCCACTTGGTCGAGACAAGGCCGGACAAGCTGCAGCCGCACCTGGGTGGCTTGGTAGATTATCTCATTACCCAACAAAAGGACGAGGACGAAGATCTTGCCTGCGAGGCCGCCGAGTTCTGGCTGGCCATCGGTGAGCACGATGACCTGTGGGCCGGTCTTCGGCCGTATCTCAACAAAATCATTCCCGTTTTGTTGCACTGCATGGTATACAGCGGAGAGGACATTGCCCTTCTCGGTGGGCTTTCGGATGACGAGGATGAAGAGGACCGAGAGGAAGATATCCGACCAGCCTTTGCCAAGAAGTCTCAAGCCAGGACTGCAAACGGAGAAGGCAATCTTTCGGCTGATCCCAACCAGAACGGCGGTGCCTACGAGAAGCTTGCCGCCATGGATGAAGGGCTGGAGGAAGGCGAAGTTGATGATCTCGATGAGGACGGCGATGACGCGAATCCCGACGAGAGATGGACTGTCAGGAAGTGCTCAGCAGCTGCACTCGACGTTTTCGCCCGCGACTTTGGCGGACCTGTCTTCGAAGCCATCTTCCCGTATCTCTCCCAGAACCTTAAGCATGAAGAGTGGCCTCACCGAGAGGCAGCAGTCCTGGCTCTCGGCGCGGTGGCTGACGGTTGTATGGATACCGTCACACCTCACCTCCCCGAATTGGTGCCATACTTGATCTCTCTTCTCGAGGATCAGGAGCCGGTTGTTAGGCAAATTACTTGCTGGGCCTTGGGAAGATACTCTTCCTGGGCGGCTAACCTTGCTGAGCAGTCTCAGCGAGAGCAGTTTTTCCTTCCAATGATGGACGGCATCCTTCGCAAGATGCTGGACAAGAACAAGAAGGTCCAAGAGGCGGGTGCCTCGGCGTTTGCGAATCTGGAGGAGAAGGCTGGAAAGAAATTGGAGCCATACTGCGGACCCATCATCCAACAGTTTGTCCAGTGCTTCGCCAAATACAAGGACCGCAACATGTACATTCTCTACGACTGTGTTCAGACACTGGCTGAGCGCCTGGGCCCCTTTATTGCCCGGCCTGAACTGGTCAACCAGCTGATGCCAGCGCTGATTACGAGATACAATGCTGTCTCGGACCAGTCTCGCGAGCTATTCCCGCTCCTAGAGTGTCTTTCTTATGTTGCTTTGGCCCTTGGTCAATCGTTTACCCCCTATGCGCCCACGATTTTCTTGCGTTGCATCAACATCATCCACACAAACCTTGAACAGGGCATTAACGCAACCACCAACCACACCATCGACCAGCCCGATAAGGATTTCCTCATCACCAGCCTTGACCTTTTGAGTGCCATTATTCAAGCGCTTGAGAACGACAAGTCGGCCGAGCTCGTAAAGAGCTCTCCGCACCCCTTCTTTGAGCTCCTTGGTTTCTGCATGGAAGACCCTACGGATGAAGTACGGCAGTCCGCGTATGCACTGCTCGGCGACTGCGCGAAGTATGTCTTCCCAGAACTCCAGCAGTACATTCCAACTGTTCTGCCAATCTTGTTGAAGCAGCTCGACATGGATAGCATCCTTGATGAGGAAAT